TTTTTTTTTCTTTTTTTTGGTTTTGGTGTTTGTTGGCTTTTTTTTTTTTTTTTTTTTTTTTAATTTTCTCGGAAGATGTCTACCTTTTAGTCTCCATGTGCCTCTCCATCACCTTCGCCTTCATCTTCTATTCACACCAATATTACTTTCTATAATTTCGTCAATATCCAATGTCTCTCACGAAAGACAAATGCCCTAAAAGCATAGGGATATCCTCACCCACGGCTGAATAGCTTTTTCATCATGCCACTTGTTGATGAATTATATTAGGGTTTAATTAGAGAGTAACATGCCACGTGCATGTTTGTCACAATTCTTTGCTCTAGAAGAAGAGAATTTTACATGCTTTCGTTGGTTGCGCTTATAAGCATTATATAAGTGTGAAAGTAAAACAAACAAAAAGTGACCAAAAAGAAGCTAGAAGTGGTAACATGTCACACACAATGGAAAGAATAAAGATACCAAAAGTGATGTATTTACAACAATAAAGCTTCCTCATGACTTGACATATGCTTTGCAGGGAAGGATCTAAAGGCCACGGCTAGCTTTTGTTTTGTGAATGAAATAAAGCCCTTTTTTCTTTCTTTCTTCATTTTCTTTTCTCTTTATAAATATTACATATATAAATATGTACACACTTTGAAGTCATATATAGATTATATATGGAGAAACAGATGTATAATAATTAATGTGAAAAAGTTGGGCCAACAAACTCTAATCATCAATTTAGATGTTGGGTCCCTCCTAATTTGGGGCATCTTTTTGATCCATAGCCCTTAGAATTTCCTTCAGCCAATACAAAAGTTGAACAGTGATGGCTCAAGAAACAAACCATGTGAGTGGGGGAGACTTATCTTTAAATCCAAAAAGAGAAGTTTGCCAGTGAAAGTCCAAAAGTCAAAGCATCAAATCCAAAAGATCGAAAAAAAAGCCCACTTCTTTATAAAAAGCAAAACCACAACGTGCAATTATACGTTGCAGCCTCCATTTCTAGTATATATGTGTGTATATATATATGTACAAAAGATGAAGTATTGACATATATATATATATATATGTATATATATGTATATAACATTGTTCCTTAGATAGTTTATGCTATACTAGCCAATTTTTCAATGTCATGTAGAAATCATAGTAATAAGAAAAAACATATTAATATTTTCTTTTTTTTTCTCTAGGTTATATATATTGATGAATATACATGTGAAACCGGCCTATTCTTAGAACCATGCATAGCAACTAGTGTGTATATATTATTATTATTATTATATATATATATATATGTATGTATGTGTTTGTGTATATGTCGATCAAAACAATGTATTCAATGGGCACAAAAATTTATTTTCTTTTATTAGTACTATAACTGCTCCAGCTAGTTATTAGTACTATATACCCATGCGTATGAATAATAGTTTCTTGGCGTATTTAAACTGAGAGAGGAATCAAGCTTTTGTTGGGTACTCTTTTGTTCTTTAGGGAAAGGAAGAAAAAGAGAGAGAGAAAAGTGTAACCATAAGACGACAAATATATTAGATTATGTACTAACTTTTGCTCATCTTAAAATAGTTAGATGAAAGGTATTAATCTTTCTCCAATCTTGTCGCCACGGAAAAACATATAATCAAACTTAGTTTCTTCTTTATAGATAATTATTCTGATACCCGAATAATATAATTTTCTACAACTTGAACTTCTCTACAAAATAAAAAAAAAAAATGGTTGTGTTTATAAAATAATTTGTGTGAACTTTTATCATTAGGAGAGCGTACTTATTAATTAAACATGTAATTACAATGTGTATAAGAAACAAAAGGTATTTTTTGCTGTACATATAATCTGAAGAAACAATTAAAGTCGACTGAAAACAATACACTGTTAAATACTAAACTAATAACATATTAGCATTTATAAGTTTAGGGCTATATTATTTTTAATGTCAGTTTGCTTTCTCTTATATTTACTTAAAAAGCCAAAAATATATATATACATATGAAAGACTAGTAGGTTTAATATTATATTTAGCTTCAATATTTGAGTTCTTCTTGATATGTTTTTTATTATGCTCTGAAAGCATGCTAACTTATTAATTATTACTAATTAAGAGAATACACATTCACACGTACGTAACTGTTCTGATATCATTTATCCATTCCTCTTATCTCTATATATGATTGTTTATAGTAGAATTTTCAAAATATTCGTATTTAATCAAAAAAAAAATCTCCATACTATTGTTGGGTCATCAGTAGAATTATTGCCCATGTCACAAGAAAGAAAGTCATTATTAGACTTTTCCTTTCCTTTTTCTTTTCTTTGCTGTTTAATCCTCCAGTACTCTCTTTGCAAGCTACACCGTTTCCTTGTAAATTTAAATCAGTGGGAAAACTCTGCAATTATTTTCAGCCTCCATATTTACGTCTACAATGTCTGCTTATTTTACCTTTTTATCTTTCTATACTACGAAAGGCCAAAGGTCTATATGTAATAGGATTTTGGAGAAACAAAAAAAAATAGAAAAAAAAAAGAAAAAGAAAACCTTCAATGTAGAACAGAATTCCTTTATGTATGTTCCGAAACTTTACCCTTGGAGTGCAAGGGTCTTAATTTTTAGTCTTTATTCTTTGTTAATATTCTTTTAACTAATATAATCATTTAATTAGTAGTAAAAATTCAGTATTTGCCTCCTTTCTTTTGTGCCACAAATTTTGCATATGTGAAGAATGCAAATTGGGCTTAAGAGGTCTCATTTTCAAAGCCCAATGGGTTAGTCCACTTCTATACATATGGTCACCAGAAGCCCTCATTCTACATCGCAGGACTAGTTCTACCCAAGCCCGAATCAAGTTGACCAAATTAATTATAAAGAGATTTCTGGTGGAGATAAAATTAACAACAGATAAATGTAGAAGGAAACTTGATGAAGACATTCATGAGACGTTTAGTTCATAGATTAAAATTATTTTTTATTTACGTGTATTTTTTGTGAAAGAAAACATTGTAATGAATCATGAACCATTATTCAAATCGGGATACAAATCCCTCAACTAAACAACCCCTCAGTTGGATATCTGCAACTCCTATTTTGTTCTGTGAGATTATGGATGTACGTACTAAGTGTTTCGCTTACATGAGATTTCGCATGTTGCAAATTAAAGGTAAGAGTAGAGCTTGATGATGAAAGAGGCTTGACGTGGGCATGCTGGTGGTGGCGGTTATGGGTTTTTGGAAACATTTAGTGGACGTTTAGTTCACGGATTTAAAATTATGGTTCAGAACTATTCTCATTTTACGTATATTTTTTGTGAGAGAAAAACATTGTAAATAATTATGAATCATGATTCAGAATCAGGGAAGAATACATGAAACAAACACTCCTTAAATACTTAAGAGTTTTTATTTATGTTTCATTTGAAAGACTTTAAATTTAATTGGTTATCTTGAGATATTTTAAAAGAGTTTGGTTTACTTTATTTAAGTTTTGAGAAATTTATTTGATGTTAGAGTTTTATTCATTAAAGACCGCCTTTTATGTTTAGTTTTTCAAAGAAAATTTATTCCGCTTTTAAGATTATCCCCTACGAGTTTTACTCTATTCTTATTATATAATAAGTTAATATGTTTCCGCTATATATATATATATATATATACACACACACATAAATATACAATATTATGAGTATTTTTCGCATATTTTTAGGAATTATCGTGGCTTTTGTAAGGGTTTCTGCAGATCCCTTGAATACTAGAGATGTTGTTGCTCTTTCCAATTACAGATTTTATTTGGTCGATTAAGGTTGAGTTATACTCTTATTTTCCTTCTAGGGTTTTTCCTAGAAGGCTTGAACGAATCAAGCTCTAAGCATGGGCATAGGAAAAGTCTTGCACTTAAACATTAGCTGCAAAAACGTAAACATTAGCTACAAGAAAGGTAATAATGAATTTATTCTTTAATTTATATATATATATAATACTAGCTGTATATATATATTATTTGGATCGGTTGATGGAAGTAAGCACAGATACAATAGCCATTAGAACGCATCCCCCAAGCAGAACTCCAGAAGCAATAATTCCCCTGTTAAAGAAACCCGGTGTCTTAGACTTCTCTTGTTGGAATAAGTCGGCAAATTCAATCAAATCAGCCTTTCCAGAGGCCTGGGCGATAGCGATAATAGCATCAAAAGCGTCCGGCAAAACCTTCTTCAGCTCGATACTCACTGCAAAGCCGGCCCCGGCTCCCGACGCCAGCAGCAAGCTCACCACCTTGTCGGCATAGAAGTCGAACTGCGGCAGCAGTGTGCCGCCTATGAGCCGCTTTTCGGTGCAACCGTAATATATGGCGAATGGAAGCTGCAGTATTAGGTAGGCTGCTCCAACAGCCGCCGTAGCAAGCACATACCTGACAATACATAACAACATATTTATGTGTGTGTGTGTGTGTGTGTATATATATATCAATTTAGGACTAATATTCATGGTCCTAAAACTATATCTTATGCCTGAAACACATAAATTTTATTTAAAATGTAAAAATAACAAAGCTCAAGAACAAGAAACAATGGTAATTGAATCGTTACAAGCATAATTTACAGGTAAGTTTACACTTTAAATCTAGTTCTAGATTCTTCAAAAAAAAAAAAAATCTAGTTCTAGATTCATGATAGGTTATGTTGAAAACCCTATTAAAAAAAATCTAGTTCTAGATTCTTTAATTAAAATTCTGCTTTTTCTTTCCTTAACATCATATGTTTGAGCGCGTCCCAAAAAAATTATCCATCATTATTGAACTTATTTATTTTACTATGTACAAAATCTTGATTGTTAAATTAAGAAAAAATGCACATATATGGATCGATGAAACCAGTTGATCATAATTTGTGAGTTTATATACGTATTATGAAAATACGTATTATAATTAGTTGTTATCTGTATGCAAATATATCCTTGAAAGAGGTTTTCCCACCATCACTGATTTCGTAGTTATCGGTAAGGAGTAGCACTGCCGAAGCAACTAATACCAAGAGAGTGGCAATCCTCAGGTCAAGAATGATGAAAGCTTTATTAACTTTGAACCCCATTTCTTGTTATGTACTATATATTAGTGTTTCTTTAGTTAGTGATATTCTTGCTAATTACCCACCAAGTCATTTTATACATACACACACACACACACACACACACACACACATATACATATATATATATATATATGTATATATGTAAAGAACACTAGTGCCTTTGGACGGCATTTTCCCTTAAGTACTATTGAAACTAACGATCGATGTTGTCCATAAGAAACCGCGTGTGGAAAAGCATAAGGCTGAGTATATATAAAGTTTAAATGTAAAAATACAAAGGCTATGACAAATTTTTTTTTCCTTTTTTAATGCCCTTCAACGCTACAACCAGTGAGAATCACGTTCGAGCCTTACTAGGCAATCTGCCTCTATTAATCTACTTCTTTTACGCAAAATTAAACGACTTATTATTTACTGATCATCCTTGGGACCTCAGTATAGATATTTTACATAAGAAATTCTATAATTTTATCTTCGGACCTTAGTATATAGTTTTCCGAAATAGTTTGGTTCCCTTTGTTAGGAACTTTATTTCTAAGTATATTTTGTTGGCAATCATGTATCATAAATTAATTTAATTATTTATTGTTAATCTAACTCAATTTTGTGGGCAGATAAATTCATATTTAAAGTTTGAATTATATGGTATTTATCTCTTAATTCTTTGGGTTTGATACTTAGAGATTTTTGTGTAGATTTCGTGCGGATTAAGTTTTAGATTTTAAATCTTGACTTATCTCTTCTATTCGGATATTTATCTCTAAGTAAGATTTGTGGATTTAATCCTTGTGCTTAATTGATTCTATATTCATCTTAGGATTAATTTGCTTATTGACTAAGTTTTCTGGTGGTTATCTACAGGATTTTGCAGATTCAATTTGGATCTAGTTTTAATTTAAATGTAGTTTGAATTTAAACTAACAGTCGCATTAGTCAGTTTTTAGTGTCTTGACACTGCAGGTACTCTGTTTATAGGACAATGCCAAAAAATGAGCTATTTGTCCGCACAATGTGCAAGTTCAATATCCTGTTCGAATAAAGATTTATGAGGATAGCTGAAATTTTGTGAAGATTTAATTCAAAAGATTTTGAGCAACCAAAATTTAAATTCAAATGGACATGAGGATCTGATCTTATCATACATCAAACAGAGAGATTCTAGACCGTAGCCATATCTAGGAGTTTCATTATTTAAGGAGAACAACTTGTAATTCTCGAGTAAGACCTAGGTTGAGAACTTGAGAGTCTAGCGAGAGAAAATTTCAGTGTTCTCATTGTGCTTAAGTGTGAGAGAAAAACTAGAGCTATTTTTTAGACTTCATTTGTTAGTCTCAAACTCTATTTTCTACGGACTTTTAAAGAATCCTGAGTAGGTCTAAGGAAGAGCCGAAGGTAGATTATGGCGTTCAAAGTAAGTCAAGAAGACTGAAGGCAAGCATCGTGCTTGGAGTAGGTGAAGACAACCCAAGGCTAGCAAAAGACTCAGAGTAGGAAGAAGAATCTAAAGGAGAGTCCAGAGAAGTCATCGTTGGTGAGGAGTTGGTGTAGATTCGAGAGGTCTTTTGTAATTCCAACTTTTTTTACGAATGTTATTCCAACTTTTGTAACTACATTTAGTGATAGTGAAATCCTCTTTTATTGTAACGCCCCTCCCAAAATAGCAGCTAAAAACTTCGCCAACTAAAAAGAAACGTTAAATAAAATAAAATAATACTGCTTGATAAAGAAATAATATCAATTACAAGTACAATCCATATGTATAAAAATTATTAAGATTACAAATTTCAATTCTTAAAATCTTTTAACTTATCATGGGACCTTGGACCTTTCTTACTCAGTCAACTAGAACTTCTATCTAACAGCTTACCTGCATTACAAGAACTATATGAGCAAAGCTCAATAAGTAAACCATAAATAATTTCCACTCTCAAAATACTTCTTTAATCTTTAAACTTCAGAGCTCTCTTGCATAACGTTAATCTCGTTTCATTCGAACCCATTAGATGCGACCCCTGTTTTAAAAACTCTTATTTCTCTAAGATGTAGCCTTCAACATCTTTAACTATGGGTGACCAGCTGGAAAAGGTTTCTTATTGCCAACAAGCGCAAATAACTAACCAAGGCTAAGATAAACAGGTGTGCATGTGGCCTTTTCCTAATTTCCACTCTTAGTGCTAATTCACCAAAGCTAGAAGTTGAATCATCTTGCCTATTAAGCTTGTCTTGGAATTATATAACAACACCAAAAAATAGAATAGCCACCTCATGCTTGATGTCTTTAATATCCACACTACGTTTTCCAATTCTTAATACAATCCAATTTGAACAACCTAAGTGATATAAATTATCCTCACTATAATCTCCAAATATCATTAGATAAAGAAAATATCAAAATAAGTTCATTCAAGAATCCAAAATCTCCAAAATTCATAAGATAACTAAATTGTATTATTTTTTTCACCTAAGCTAGTACCTCAAAAATGCGGGCATTACAACTCTCCCCTTTTTAAAAAAATTTCATCCTCAAAATTTAATAATTCTAATTTCTCCAATTGAACAACTATCCAAGAAAATACTAAAATGCAGGTATTTCTAATAACATAAATCATACGTTGATTGAGCACTTGATCCCATGACACTCTCACTATGTCTCTAAAATCGTATTGCTCTAATACTAAATTATAACGCCCTTCCCAAATTAGAAGCAAAAAACTTTGTCAACTTGATAAAAAAGTTAACTAAAATAAAATAATATTGTTTAATAGAGAAATAATATCTATTATAAGTACAATCCTTCAATAAAAATTCTTAAGATTACAAATTTTAATTCTTAAAATCTCTTAACTTTTCATGGGACCTTAGACTTTTCTTGTTCAATCAACTGAAACTTCTATCTAACGGCTTACCTACATCAAATGAACTATATGAGCAAACAATTTCTACTCTCAAAATACTTCTTTAAACTTTAAATTTTAAGACCCTCTTGTATAATGTTAATCTCCTGTCAATTGAACTCCCTTAGATGCATTCCTTGTTTTGGAAATTCTTACTCCTTCAGAATTTAGCGCATAGCATCTTTAACTGTGGATTCATAACAAGCATAAGAGTTCGTATCATACCCAGAAAATATTTTAAAAATTACATGAAAACATGTCAATAATAACATATATAAATTAAAAACTCTTTTTAAAAAAATATTATATGTTCAAGTGATGCAGTGCAAAGTATACTTACAAATACGTAACCAGCTGGAAAAGGTTTCTTATTGCCAACAAGCCCCTATGACTAACCAAGGCTAAGATAAATAGGTGTGTACGTGGCCTTTTTCTAATTTCCTCTCTTAGTGCTAATTCACCAAAGCTAGAAGTTGAATCATCTTGCCTATTAATAACAACACCAAAAGATAGAATAGCCACCTCATGCTTGATGCCTTTACTATCCACACTACGTTTTCCAATTTGTAATACAGTCTGTTGGGATTTTCGGTTTCGTCACAGATTTTGGAAATTGACATTATTTTGAAATGTTTTGCAGAATTGGAATGTTTGGAAATGTTGTCATTAATTTGCTGCAGGTTTCCTCGTTGTACAGATTCAGATTGTATTGAAATCCAGTTTTCTTGTTTGTTTAGCCAAATTGTGAATGTTTTGGTAATATGGATTTTGATGGATTGAATTAAGGAAAATGTGTTCTGCAACAAATACTTTTGGAAACTGTTTCAAATTGGTCAATATTTATTGATTTGAAAAATGTCAATTTCTTTGTGTTCTTGGAAAGTTAGAATTTGGTGAGTTGGTTGATTTGCTAAGAGGATGTTGCACTGTTGTAACATATCGTCCGGATTTATGGAGTGATTTGCAAGAATGATACTAAATTTATAGAGAAAATATCCAGAATTTGCAGAAGTTGAATTTAGATCAGATTTTACAGATCTGTTGCAGAATTTCTTACAACAGATTTTGCAACAAATTGTAATTCGTGATTGCATTAATGATTCTTAAAGCTGGCAGTTTTGGCTATTTAATTGGAGCCTCATAAAAATCTCAGCACGCCTTGAGAGTCACAGAAATTCAGTGTGAAAGATTTTGTGAGCACTTGTTCTTTCTTATTTATTCGGGGGAAGGGCTTTTGAGTTTCCAAGAGAAAACAAATTGTTGCAAGTTCATAAGTGATAACTAATCTTCTATTACTTTGACTTTAAGATAAAGCAAAAAGCTCTTCTAAAACTCTAAAAATAAGAGACAATAGAAAATTGAATAACACAATTTTTGCTCTCCTTCCTTCGTATAGGTGGGCACCATAGACAGAGAAAAGAGAAGAAAATTTCTTCCAATTCCTTGTTTCACCTCATGCATGCGTTGATATTGATGGAAGACTAATTAGCGAGTGATCAATTGCTTTAGTTCTAAATTAAAGCTCACACTCTAGGTCTTCCAGGTATTAAGGACTAGACGAGAAAGATTCAAGTATTCCTAAAATCTTAGAGCGAGGATTGTTCGTGGTCAAAAAACTCAAGGTATATTGATAAATTAATTTAATTAATTTATTAGCGTATAAATTAATATATTCTATAGAGTGTTTCAAAAGTTTTATGAAAATTTTTTTTATACACAATTCACACATGTACGTTTACACATCCGAAATCGTTTAGGAAACCAACAACAACACCGCGTGCAGAGGCGTACGGTAATCGGACTATATTCTTCGACTCTTTTGGTCGGATCCCTGTCACTATTCGGATTGGATCCCTAGCAGTCTTTAGATGGACTCCTAGCATTGTTCGGATCAGATCACTAACATTGTTCATATCAGATCCCCAGCAGTGTTCATGACGGATACCTAGCACCGTTCGGATTGGATCCCTAGCATTGTTTTGACCTGTAACGAAAAAGTATATAGCCTCAGAGTGAGGGGACACCGGTGTGGCGTTTTCTAATGGCACTACAATGCTCAAGTGAGATTACTGATTGGGAGCAATTAATGGAGAGGCAGGTTTTAGATAAAGAGTTTGTCCGTACCTTTGTGAGCTAATGAGCTTGGTATTTATAGAATATTTCCGGTTCCGCATAGTTCCAGGATCCTACCCATAACTCAAAGGTAACCCGGGTGTAAATTTGTACCGGTCATATGACATGTATCGCGTCCCTATAGTAGGGAATCCCCCAATGGGGATTGCACAGAGGGGGCCACGCGGCAGTGTTTAGGCACTTGTTCTATTTTGCCAGTGGGTGCCAGATAGCGTAGGACCAAGTGCTCAGCTTATTCTGTCTATTATGCATGTTCAGCCTGTTCCGCATGTTCTATCTATTCTGCCTGTTCGGCTTGGTCTGTTTGTTTGGCATGTTCGGCCTGCTCTGCCTGTTTGGCATGTTCGGCCTGTTTGGCCTGTTATTCCGGTCATGAAATAACCACCCCTCAACAATGTTGATCTTTATCTGATCCATTTTGCAGTGAGATTAAATGAGGGAATTGTGGGCATGAAGTTCACTAAAGATGATATTCTTCCGTTTGACATAACGGGTACGTGGAAGGCCATGGAAGAATGCCAAAGACTACGGTTAGCCAAATAAGTTGGTGTCAGCAACTTTGGCTGCAAAAAGAAAACGCGACCATTCCTCCAGCGGTCAATTATGTGGAAATGAACACCTCATGGCAACAAACCAAACTGGTGAAGTCTTGTAAAGAGAGGAATTTATGTGACTGCTTGGTCGCCTCTGTGAGCTTATATAGACTTTTGGGGTGCGAACGAGGATGTAGAGAGTCCCATTCTTAAGGACATTGCAGCCGCCAAAGGAAAGATTTCTGCTTATGTTCTCTAGTCCTTTTTTTTTTTTTTTTTTTTTTTCGTAATCTCTAGATTTCAATAGCAGTTGTGAATTTAACATCAGAGTAACCTTGCAATCACAAAATTTCTAATTCTTACGTATGTCATACTCATAACCGCAATCGTATTTCTTTAGCCGCTGTATAATTATTTACTTACCAATTTATTCATGCAGATTGCATTGAGATGGATACATGACCAGCAAGGGGCAAGTTTTGTGGTGAAGTGCTTTAACAAGGAGAGGATGGAACAAAACCTTGAAATATTTGGTTGGGAGCTAAGTGAGGATGAATTGGAGAAGATCAAGCAAATTCCACAGAAAAAGATTATTTTCATGAAACCGCTTTGTCTCTGAAGTGGACCTTACTGGTCGCTGGATGAATTTTTGGGATGGTGACCCTTCAAATCCTCTCTTATTTCTATGCATTTTGATTTATGATTATGCTTAGAAACTGCTCACTGAATTACAATAAATTCAAATTGCTAAAGTTGTCCAAAACCAAGAAGCGTAGGACTATACATTAAGACACGGCATGTGTAGTCTATGCAATATTGTACAGAATTGTATTATCATTCTATAATACTGTGTTTGGTGTACCCCTAAGCATTTGAAAGTTTCCCACGGTGTTCTAACAACTTTCCAAGAAAATGATGCGACAATCCATGAAGAAATAAGGAGATTATTCTATATTGAAATATTAGTTGAAAAAAATCGCAGGCGAACTCGGAGATTACCGTATTAAGAATGACGAGAATAACTGATCAGCATGATTCGACCCACTAAAAACTAAAATCCCACTATTTGTAACAGTTGCGCTTTTCTGTGAAAGAAGACGACTTCGAAAGAAACAAAGAATTTTGGCTCCGATCTATTGCAATACAGGATTTAATGAAGACTTTTCTTTCCTTCATCATCAATAGCTACAAGTAGAACCCTAAAAATGAAAGAAGTAAATGAGTTTACATCAATGTAAGAGTATAACTACTTGATGAAAGCAGAACCATGGTATGCAGTTTGGCACAACAGAATTACTATATGTTTTTTACAAACATCAAAGGAAACAGAGTCCATTTTTGCAGCGTACTTTCGAGTTATTTACAATGGAAGTTCTGATCGAGAGTATCTATAAACCTAGGCCGAACGGATTAGATATCCGGATGCATAATATCTTCATTGTTAATGCCTGCTCAAAGAGCAAGTGAAGCTCTAGATCTCTGGTTAGAATGTTAAACAAGCCTTCCAATTTATGCGCTCATAATTTATTATCAGATGATGATGCAGATGGTACATTGTATGTGCGGGTAATCCGAATCTGGAAAGAAAGCAGTTAATTCAGTTGCATTAGAGAAAGCATGGTACACTTAATATATATATATATATATATATATAAAACAATCTTTTCTTCTTGTTTTGATGGAAATCAGACTGCAAGTCAAAGTTTACGAAGTTCTGATCGAGAGTATCTATAAACCTAGGCCGAACGGATTAGATATCCGGATGCATAATATCTTCATTGTTAATGCCTGCTCAAAGAGCAAGTGAAGCTCTAGATCTCTGGTTAGAATGTTAAACAAGCCTTCCAATTTATGCGCTCATAATTTATTATCAGATGATGATGCAGATGGTACATTGTATGTGCGGGTAATCCGAATCTGGAAAGAAAGCAGTTAATTCAGTTGCATTAGAGAAAGCATGGTACACTTAATATATATATATATATATATATAAAACAATCTTTTCTTCTTGTTTTGATGGAAATCAGACTGCAAGTCAAAGTTTACATATGTATCATTCAAAATATTGAAATCTCAATCTGCAAAATCAGGTACAAAAAATAAAATCTTTGAGTCAAAGATGCTAGAGCACAAATGTTCAAAAGATGCAGGTACGGGAGGTAAAATCACCGCCATGCTGCTAACACAAGTAAATTATTCACTTGGAAATGCATAATAAAGATCTAAGTCCCACTGAATTGATCAATAGAAAATTTACAATCATACGGTGACTCTCCTAATGTCCAATTTATATCAGATTGAATCTCAAGCCACTACATTAACCATTTACGAATGTATCGATGTATGTATGTACACATTATAAAGCAAACTTAAAGGACGAAAGCAACTCTATCGTAATGAATAATGGAGCCTTCTAAAATAAGACAAACCCTAAGAGAATAGTGCAGGAGGCAATAGTAGTATTAATACCTGCGCAAAAGCATAGATTGCCCGCAAGATTCGAGCATAATCAGTTCCAAGCATTTGGATGACAACATCGGCCAGAAATGTTCCCCAAAGCCTGCAAGCAGACAGACATAGATATAATTGTCGGCTACATGACAGAATTTTTGCAAACAAACAAGAAAGAAACAAAACTTGGAGAACGTAGAAGATTAACAAAAGCGATATCCATGTTACTCAGACCACACTCTAGGAGAAACACAAAAATAATAGATAAAGAATGTTGGAAAATAAATAAACAAAGTTTGTTTAGAAGATGCAGTGAAGAAGAGCCAATACATTGGGCCAAGCAGAGTCATCATGCTTCTGAAACCTAGATATCTTGATGCAGCACCTGTAAGACCCTGTCAATTGTTACCAACTGTGAGGAATTCAGCTAAAAGTTTTATCATAATATAATTGCCAAGGTGGTTGAACTACTTTGAATTTGCAAGTCAGCTCAACAAAAACTCATAAGTTGAAAGAAAATTGGATCAATGTCCATCCAAAAGATTTTGTGTTTTGAGAAGATTGAATGTAGAATTCAAGATCAATCGAGTTTCAAGAATTTATGTGTGCTCGAACTAGCTCCATTGATTCACAACTCTTTTGTAAATCAGCTATAATTACCTGTTTTGCAGCGAGCAATGCTGCTCTAGACTCTAAATTAATTGCAGCTACCTGTCCACCCTGAAAATAAATAAAAAAATTAAAATAAAATAAAATACAAAAGGCATGTTAATCTCGATGGCATCTTTCAAACCACTACATGCCATCCGACATCTATACTATTTAGATAAGCACGCATATGAAATTTTCATTTAAACTGACCAAAACTGGCTGATTATCTAAATTAACATTTTTAATTTCAAAACGGTCTTCCTTTTTAACAGAAACTAAAAATATTTTATAAATTTTATAAAAATAAAAAAGGAAGGATGAGAGGTCCTCAATAACTTGAAGCACAAAAATTCTCAGGGACCAACACAGAATAGGGTTTATTCAGAAAATCATGACAATAATAATAAATAAATAAAATAGATAGATAAAGGCACAACTTGATAGGTTAAATACTCAAGAGTCAATTTATTTATGCATCACAGAAATAAAATAAAAAAGTAAACAAATAAAATTTGGAGTTTCTTCATTTTTCAAAAATGAATATTTGATGTGCTAATTGCAGATTGATATGCACAATACATATGAAGGAAAATTGATATGCTTATATCATCCAACTTTAGTACATATGAGCGAAAGTCAAGTCAATGGATGCAATAGAAACAAAATAATGCATCTCCTAGATGTAAAATAATCGAGACAAAAAAACAGGAAAATGAAAATTGAGAAGAGATAAAAACTCAGTAAACTTGACAGATCCATAATGTTAAAGAAGGTGCTCTCAAGAGGACCAAAGAGCTAGCATATCAAAATGTACCTTTTTAATAAATTCCTTTTTCATCTGATAATTGGCAGCTTCTAGGAATACCTTTCCAGATAATCTCTTTGACAACTACCACAAATGAAAAAATAGTAATAACAATAATAATAAATCAGACACGTACATAACGCAAAATAGGATATATCCACCGTACAATTTTCTTACCAATTGAAAAATCTTTGCGAAAGTAACAATACTACTGCCCTGTAGAAGGGAAAAAATAAGAAGGGAAAATAACACAAAAAACAAAAGATCAGATTAAGTCAAAAGTGAATAAGAATACAGAAAACTTTCACAAAGGCATCGTAGTCTCTGTAGAAATTTAACTGTACCTTCAAAATCACAGATTGAAACTCTTTGACAGCAGACTGAGCTTGCACCTTCCATCCACTGAGTCCAAGTTCTAAACCACTTTCGGCATTAGATGTTAGGCCTGAAGAAGCTTTAAATTCTTCGCTATAAGAAGACATTTTACATACTCCAAGTCATCAGAATACGTTCAAAAGGAAATAAAAACTTATTGGACTTTTCTAAGATATGATAATCCTCGACACGTAGTGCATTTACAAAATATCTCAATAAATTAGTGTAAGGTAGCTAATGATAACTATAGGGCATTGTTATTCTTATTGTATAACTTCTCTGTGACATTGCTAAAACAGTCGTAAATTTACTTCAAACTAAGTGTCAACACATCATAATGGTGGCCATTTTGTGAAGGTCTCATACTAGAGATCCAAATATCTTCAGCATTTCCAGGCAAATTGAACAGAAACGTTTCATCTCCATGCTACAAATTAAAATCCGTTTTTGTTTATGTTTCTATCATACGCTTTACTATAAGCCCCTTCCAATCAGAGGAATTACTAGAAAGTAAAACTACAACAAAATGTTAATTTTGAAGAACAAAATAAGAATGCTCTGCTACGGTTTGGGACAACAAGTTGAAGAGCTCAAGCAAAACATAACTGGTTTAGTTCAAAAAGTTTGAGACTGTTTTCAAATTCCTTAAGTACCCGCCTCATTGCATGTAAGTGTTAAAAAAGTTTGGTTTTGTTAAGGGCTAGTGATGGTGAAGACAGGACAAGTAACTTCATAGATTAGAATCTACCAGAAAAGAACTAATTAAAGAAATGTGTAGATAATAACTTGTTGTCATGCATTTGGATTCTAGAGAAGCATGCTTCTATACAAGACCACACTATGAAAAATCATACCCCGTTGGTGTCAGTCCGTCATAGCAATGGCCCATTATTCATTGCATCACATAATACCCTCTTATACAACCAATGGGCTTTACTATTTATTAGAAGACAATCTGAACCATATTTTTCTAACTTATATGGTGTGGTGCAACTCTGTTATTATCTAGATTCTTTTTCTCACTAGCATTCTCCAGTGGTCAACATCCAACTCATCTAAATGTTGAAATTTTTATCAATTTGCATTGTTCAACTACAGAGATAATAAACAAATATGTAAATCCTAGCAAGTTATAATTGGAAACATGCCTTGAGTATTCCTGTAACAGGTAAAGAAAAATCTCCGCTTCAAGGTCTTCAGTTGACAATTTGTTTGAGCAAGGAATGTTTAGCTCCTTTCTCACTGCAAGCAAGACATTCCTATATGATGGCCTCCAACCCCTAATCCAAATATATATATATATATATATATATATATATATAATGTGAAATTTGGTTAACTAGATGAAAATAAGGTAACTCAATGAAAATGCTTTAGTTCATAGCAAAGCTGCTAAATTTCACAGCGGCTTTTGTCAAAATAAACTTCTGAATAGACCCAACATTCAATAACCTTAAAGTCGAACGAGCATCAGCTGCAAGGAACAAAAATCGTGACTCTAGCGCTGCTATGAAGTTCTCTCTCTCTTGAAGATCCGTGTCTATTATGGCATAGTCCACATTGGTTCCCTTCGTTACGGACTTGAGCAAAGGGCTAAAGTAACTGCAGGTTAACAGCATTCATAAATTAGCATCACATTGGTATCTTCAAAAGTATTAAAGAGTTTAATGGTTAGGCCATGTTTAAGAGGGAGGGAGTGGTCTCTCCGGCCTATGGTGTTTGGAATGAAAGACATTAAAAGAACATAAAAATTGTTCGCCTTGTTAGACATAAAGATGCAACAGAAGAGAAAGGAAAGATTTTATTTGTACACTTACAACTTTCTTTTTAGTTGGTCTAGTTTCCTTCAGCAATGAGAGGAAATATAGAATTTGACACCATAATCCAATCAAGTAAAGAATTCCTACAAACTAGGAAATATCAAAATTGGGGTTCATTAGAAAATTTTAAATTTCTCACCCAAACCATTCACTCCTCTAATCTTTCATCCCGAACAAATCCTTCCCACTTTACTTTCCTAACAAACAAGTACTTAGTCTACTAGCTTAGGAAAATTTTCAGGACCAAAATTACGCACAGTTCATACTACTACGACAGACTAGACGGTATGAATAATCAAATAGAGGGTGTGAGAATAATCTAGTAGAAGAATGAGAAGTTATAACTACCTTGGACCAAAAAGGATATTTTCAAGCTCAAATAACTCGGTGTCTGTGGCAAGTTCGAGCACTGACCGAAGTTCTGGATCAAAGGTATCTGGGAACTTTCCCAAACCAACAAGTTAGAGAGAGAGAGAGAAAGAGAGGAAAGGCAAAAGGGCCAAAAAAAAAAAAAAGGAACCTTGCCCAGTTCTTGAGACAGAAGCACGAGCACAACCCACCAGCCTCAGACGGTGTCTCCTCTCGGGTAAGCCAAAAAATTTGAGCAAAATTCTGTTTGGTTGCTGAGGAAAAGAAGTAAGAGAAAAAACCCAAGTCAGAAAAAATAAATAAATGGATAACACGCCACTAGTGTTGACTGTTTGCCTAGTATGCCGACGATTTCCCAGCGACCAAACAAGAATTAGAAAGGAAAACATGAAGAGAGAAAAGAAAAGAGAAGAAGTGTTTACCGAGTAAGTGTGCAAGGAGAAGGGGAATGTGAAGGTGGTCATCACCGGGAGTTTTTGAGCCGTCAGCAGTGCCATTGTTTTTCTATTCTCCACAAGCTGAATGAGAACTGCAACTGCAATGGCTACGGGGGAAAAATTTACACGGTGGATTATACGCTGGTTTCGTCCGTTTATTTTACCATTTAAGTTTAAAATTTAAATTTTATTAGGTTAAAAACTCTTAAAAACAATTAAATTTAATTTTTTTACTATGCTTAAAAATTCTTAAAAATAATAACAATTAATTTTTTTACTACACTAAAAAACTCTCATATAACATTAAATTTCAACTTAAATTAAAATTTTAAATCAACGAACTAAACGTAAATTTTGTCTCCCTTTCCGCGTGCCTTTTCATTTTGCTTTGAATTATTTTTTTCCTTCTTTTCTTAATTTTCTTTAGAGAGATTTGCATTTTAGTAGGCCATTGACCTAATGCTGAAACTTTAGACGAGCTGCACGCGACCGTTCGAAAAAATTAAACTTGTACTCGTTGTCCGAGCCCGCCCGCCTGAAAAATTTGATCTGCCCGCCCAAGCCTGAAAATCACATTGAACGAGCTTCAGGCAAGTCTTAGCTACCTGAAGCCTGATTGGGCACCCTGAACCCGCCCAAACTGCCCGAATAATATATATATATATATTATATAATGTTGTTATTAATTGTATTTGTATATAAATAATTATTCAGTTATTTATTGTAAAAATTATATAAAAATTATAATTAAGATTAAAATCAACACACACTATTAAGTATTAACACAAATCAATTCAAAAAATTACAATTGTTTATTAATTTTTAAATTTATAATTTATTATTGCCTCGTTAAAAACCTTATTAAGAAAAATCCAATTAAGATAAAAACTTGGTAATGAAAAAAAAGTGCAATCATTTTGTGTCAAATTATAAATTTTAAAAATAACAAAGTCTAAATATTACAATGAGAGCACTATGAGAGGGAGCTTTAGAATTTTGTGTGAGCTTATGAAAAAATTATGAGAGAGATTTGAGATAAAAGTGAGATAGATTAAGAGAGATTGAGAGAGAATGTGAGAAATTTTGTAAAGAAAAGGTTTGGGGGAGGGGGTATTTATAGAGAAATTTTTGGGGTAAAACAATCAATTTTTTGGGTGAATTTTTGAATCCAACGGCTATATTTACCTCGGCAGGTCGGGCTTCGGACGGGCAGATTGGGCAACGGTCAAAAAAGAACCGTTATTCTTGGGCTTTCGGGCATAAGATTCAAAAAAGAAGAGAGTCGGTCGCGGGCTTTTGGGCAGCTTTATGCGGGCTTCGGGCCTGGAGGTTCGAACGGAGGGCGGGCTTTGTTCAACCTCAATATTTCGGGATGCCCGAGCCCGACTTCCCTAGCTGGACGGACGGACATCGGGCCCTACCCGCCGAGCCTGAAAAAATTTGGGCTTCGTGCAGGCCCGCCGCCCAAAGTTCTAACACTGTAATGACCGTTAAAAAAAAATAATATGATTTATCATGATTTTATACAATTTTATTATTTATATCACTATTAATAAATTAAAAATAATTATATTTACACCCATAAAATTTATTAATACGTTCATCCAATTATAATGTGTATTTATTACAATTTTATCCTACATTAAAAAAACTCAAATATATATAAGAATAATAATTGTTTGGAAAAATGCAACATGCAATGGTGCATTTAGTCTTATTATGCACGATTTCGAAAAGTCGTTGTAGGGGTCAAAAAAGCTATTTAGTACAAAAAAGAATACAAAGCTTATAAACAAAACTGTTTCAAAATAATATAACACACAAGATGGTGAATAGTTTTCCACAAATCAAATAAAGATTAAAATTAGTGTGAGGTATAAGAGGGTTAAATTAACCTTTTATTTTTTATTCATAACTTTTTTAATCAAATAATTGCACTAATAAAATGGTATTTATTAAAAGTAACGGGTAAAAATCTAAATTCATGCACTTTTAAGGATAAATTATGCAATTTTCTCTTGACTATATAGTCAGGCCCATTCGTTTTTTAATAAAGAAAAAATTAAAAGAAACAAAAATAATAGAGAATAGCATATTTTTAAAAACTTAATAAATGTTTAAAAAAATATCATTTTTTAGAAATTGAGTAAAATTGACACTCTCAAAATCTATAAGGAAACTAACAACCCTGCTCCAAATGAAATTGAGAGTTTAGGCCTCCATCAAAACACCTGTCAAGTACTTCTATTTTTCCCTATAAATACTCATCATTTCCTTCATTTAAAACATACCACCACCAACATCAATACACACCATCAAGTAACTTGAGTGCTGAAACTCTTAAAAAATCACTCTACATTTTGTTTGAGTCTTTTGCTATAAAGATTGAAATCTTTTTCAAGTTCTTGGGGTTCTTAATGGTTTCTAAGTGTTGAGAGCCTTAAGAACTCCCCCAAGAACTCTCTTTAATCTTCTTCCATAACCATCTAATAGTGTTTTAAGAGTTATTCTCAATCACTATTGGAGTGAGTGCTCTAAATGGTCTCTTTACTCCCAGACAAGCTGCATCTTCTCTCGGAGCCTCTTTAAGCATGCTTCTTCATATTTCGTCTCTCTATCAGTGCCTTACCCACTTACTAAGCTTCGTACTTAAAGCCTTCAAGGCAGTCTAAAAATTGTCTTTGGAGCATTTTTCCATCAAAAGTTTTATCCGTCTCTTGAATCACTGATTCATCAACTATTTGACACTTATCCTGCTAATCTTCATCCTTGAAGTTCCATATATTATTTTTTAGTTTTCTAACATTTTTACAGGGACTTTTTTTTGTGATTTTAGCAACAAAGATAGCCCCAGAACATGTGTTATTTGGCTAATCTGGGTCTAGACGAATCAAGCCATTGTTAGAGGTCTTAGCATCAACATCAACTTTGAATTCCCGTTAAGTACTTTGGCCACATTAGAACCGTCACTAACGAGTCAAATACTTAAATATGTGCACCCCCAACACGTTATACCTTCCGAATCTACCGGACCCAGTCAAAATTATTTGAAATAAATAATATTAAAATATTTTTTACCACATAAATTTTTTATTTGCGACTTGTAAAAAAAATTTTACCACATATATTTTTTGTTTACGAATGGCAAAAAGATTTTTTCCAGATATGGTTTTCATTTTCTATTATTTACTTCAAGTAGTTAAATCTGCTACTTACTTTAATTATTCACTATAAATTAGCTATTTAGTTCATTCTCGCCTCCATCAAATAGATAAATAAATACTAAAAATAGAATTAATGATCCTCAATTTTATTACTTTACTTTTATTTTCAATCAAGTTATCTTTCTCATTATATCTTTTATTATTAAGTAAACGTACCCTAAAATAAAAATAATAAATATAAAGGATAACTTCATAGTTTTTAGAAATAAAGAAGATTAAATTAAAAGGAGGGAAAAAAAGATTGTTATTATTATTGGTGACCCTTAAATTTTAAGGCCATTTTTAGGTTGTCTATAAATTTTAAAAATTCTCACTTTGTCCTTTAAATTTTAAATTATTTTCACTTAACCTCTTATATTGTAGTTTCTGTTAAAAACTTATAGAAAAAAAAAGAATAACGTAATTACGTGACATTTCTATTTAGATTTATATTAAAAAGAAACATATAGAAACCACATGACCACGTTTTATCTTTATGTTTACGTCTGATTTTAGCAAAAATTCTTACAAAATTGTTTAAATGGGACAAATTTAAAATTTAAGACACAAAATAAGAGTTTTTAAAGTTCAGAGAGTAAATTAAGAAAGACTGTGGCCGTGTTTAGAATTGATCCCGTTTTTATTTTTTACGTATTTCGAAAAAAAAATGAAAACGTTTTCAAAACGACGTTTGGCACAATAAAGACAAAAAATGGAAATGAAAACGATTTTTTGGTTTAGTGTAAAATAAGAGAGAAATGAAAAATGACTTTTAGTCGTTTTTTATTTTTTGTTTTCGTTTTCTCCTCTCTTGAGCAGAGAGAAAGAGATAGAGATATTAATGAGTTTTTTATACTGAAAATAATCTCTTAATACTACCAAACGCATTTTTAAAAATAATTTATGTCTGAAATTAAAAATATTTTTATTTTTATTTTTATATAAAAAATAAAATTATTTTAAAATGAATTTCAAACGCACCATAAAACTAGGAACAAGTAAACAACAGTAATAAAATTCAAAAAAAAAAAAAAAAAACTAATTGCAGCAAGAAGTGAAAACAGGTGAGATGAGATCCGGGTGGGCAGGAAGGGACCATCCCAAAGGTGTTGACTAGGAAACAACAGATCTCACATTTGCATAAAATTAACCAATCATATAGCTCCACCTGTACAAAATAGATAAAAAAAACGCTGGTGAGTTGTTCTGCTGTGGAGTAGAGTCCACACCCCTTTCGAGTCCCTCACCAAGCGTCGGTGGCATTCCAAAGCCATATCTCTCTCTAGGGAAATTTTTTATTATTTATTTAATTTATATTTCTTTTTCCATGGTAATTTATTTATTTTCATTTATTATTAATGTTATTTTAAAAGCTAATAATTAGTATCATCTGTCCTTTTACCAATCTCACATTTAAAGTTAGTAAAATATGTAATAACACAATCTCAAATTGATGGATTGATGTCAAGTTTAGTATTTTAGTGGAAAAAATTCACTCTCCAATGCTATATTATTTTCTATGATAAATTTAATAAATGCTATATTTTGTGGTAAATTTTTCAAAAGATATATCATTTTATTTGTATTAGTTGATATTAATTCTTTCATTTAATCATTATAACAACGTTCTTTTAAAGTTATTTTAACACTAAAAGTTTATTTTTACAGGATTTGGAGCATAATAGTCATGAAAATATATAGGACAATTGAAATAGCAACATGCATGGAAAACAAAATAGAATAACAGTGTATTTATTTTCACTCTTTTTTTACGTAAATATTTGTCTCGTTCATTTCACCGATTCGAGTTTTCAGTTTTAAATTTTTATAGTAAAAAATTCTCAAAAAATGTCACATCTAACTTTTTTTACTACAGTGAAAAACTCTAACAAAATATCACATTTTAACTTAAATTGAAAACTCGAATCCGTGAAATAGCCATAGAGTATACCGTTATGGGCTTACATTTGATTCTGCCACATATAGATGTTGAAGGTAACTTCATAAAAATTACTCAGAAAAGGATACATGTACTGATTGAACAAAGAACAATGTACCTATACAATAATTAACGTACCTGTCAAAAAATTATTTGTTGATTTCAACCAAAAGAAAATTATTTGTTGATGGTATTGTCAAAAGAAAAAGGATATTCTTTGGGTTATGTTTATTTCACCGATTCGAGTTTATAATTTGAGTTTTGTTACAGTAAAAAGCTCTTAGAAATAGTCACGTCTAACTTTTTACTACAGTGAAAAGCTCTAACTCACATTTTAACTCGAATTAAAAACTCGAATCAGCGAACTAGTGTTCTTTTTTTTAAGAACACCGATATTCTCGACTTATCAATCGCCGCATTTATATTACTTTTTCAATATAATTTAATAAATCTAACAGCTGATAAACGAGAACACTAGAAAAATTCCATAAAAAAATATCACAATTTTTATTTTTCAATCAACGAGTTGGTGGTGCTAGCACGTGTCCTGAATACAATCCTACGTACCATATCACAATTTTCTAAATCATATTATGGTCTTAATTAAAAAATGAAGATTAATATATACTCTGTTTATTTCACCGATTTAAGTTTATAATTTAAATTTTATTATAGTAAAAAACTCTCAGAAATAATCATATCTAATTTTTTTACTATAATAAAAAACTCTCATATAAAATTACATCTCAACTCGAATTAAAAACTTAAATTAACGAATTAAAAGACTCATATATATATATATATGGCTATAATGTTAATTCTCAAATCAAAGACGTGGCGAACAATTCATCAAAAAAACAAAAACAAAAACAAAAGTTTTGGTCAGCTTCACGTACACTCAAATTAATAATGAGTTTGGCAAGCACATATTTAATTATTTGGAGCTATTCATTAGAAAAGAAAATAAAAGAAAAAGAAAAGAAAATTAGATACGTGAATATGAACCAACCAACTGACGAAAGGCACGCTAAAAGTGTTTCTTAGCATTAAATAGGCATCCATAACAAACGTTTGTAGGTGAGTGAGGCCTTACCAAACGTGAAATTAATTTCTTCTTAGATTCGTAGACTGCAATTCGTTAGTACTAAAAACAAGTCCTGTTTTCCCCCCCTGTTTTTTTTTTTTTTTTTTTTTTTTTCATTTTGTTGAATGTACATACTTTTATTTTATTTTATTTTTATTAAAATAGAATCTTTAAATGTATTTAGCTATCACGTTATAATTCAATTGACATGAATATGAACTAATAAAAACATGTTATGCGCTCCTTAAAAAGAGAGCACGTTAACCATGTTAACAATATACTTAACTTAGTGACAATTCAAATCTTATATTTAATTTTGAAGTTAGGAGTTAGGACATTGTTTGATAGGATGAAAAAATAGAAACGATACATATTAGATTAAGAATATAATTTGAATTGGAGATTTTAACTCTTAGATTTAATGTATACAAACACAATACAAGAAGGAACCTCTAATTTGCCTTATTTTTTTAGCTATACAATTTTTCTCTTCCTTTCTACTCTCATTTTTACCAAATATACATTACAAGCTAGTTAAATTTTCGCACTTAAAGTAAAACAAACAAATCCTATTAGTGTTTTGAATGTTAACATATATATTCATTTGACGAGAATCTAATTGTTCAAACATATCCTATACAAAATTGGGTATTTTTTATCGTTGGGGTTTATTAAAATCACAATAAAATAAAATAAAAACATGTAGATAAATAGATTTTGATGTATATCAAACGACTTAAAACTGAGACTTATCAATTGTTTATTTTTTTCAAATCCTAATGTAGAAATTTCTATACAAACTTACAAAAGTTTTTATTGACCCTAATTTTAAATACTTTTTATATTTAAGGAAAAAAAAAAGGGAAGCATAAACGGTAGATTTGTAGGTGAAGAAGCACCAAACGTGAAACGTCCTTGCATTGCATTGCTTCGAGTCTAGAGAGAGAAAGAAAGAGAGAGAAGGGTGTGGGTGGTGAGGCACTCCGTCTCCATCATCATCGGTCAGCATTTTTTTTGTTTTGTTTCTTCTTTCTTACGCCTCTTATTTTTAATTAATTAACTAATTTTCATTAATTAAATTATTATTATTTTTTACAATAATCAATATTTAATAGTAATCTTTTCATTTCTTCTTCTTCAACCAAAACCGAAACAAAAACCCCTCCACACTCACATTTGAATGCTCTCTCTCTCTCTCTCTCTCTCTCCAGCTCTGCAATGGCGAAGAACACGACTTTCTCTCTCCCTCTCTTCGCATTGCTTATCCTTCTCTGCCTCTTCGATCACGTCCGATCCGATCACCGCTACCATGAAGGCGACTCCGTCCCTCTCTACGCCAACAAGGTTGGCCCCTTTCAGAATCCCAGGTCTGTCCATTTCACCACAATTTCTATCTGTTTCCCAGGAAAACTGGCTTTTGCGTAGAAAAATTTTGATTTTTCTTTTATTCTATGAATTCGGTTGCTTCCGTTGCTATACGTTCTCAGATTTGCTAAGATTATGAGGTTTAACTTAGTCTTTGGAATTTACTCCTTTAATTTGGGCGGAGAATTTATTGGCTGCCATCTCTCTGTTTGTTTCTCGGCAAATTTGATTTGAAAACTGAGTTTTATGTATGAAAGTTGGGTTTTTCATTTAGTATGAATTCAATTGATCTCAATGGAGGTGGACATTGCTAGTGGTTCTCTGACTTGACATTACTCATTTGGTTCGACTCGAGGCTCGGATGGGGAATTTATTCATTGCTTACCTCACCATCTGTTTGTTTCTCGGCAAAATTGATGGGAAAACTAAAATCCCGTACGTTTCGTTCATTCGAGTTATCAACTTGGGTTGAAAAGTGAGCTTATGTGAGAGAAAACATTGTAGTAAAAACTTCAGTTGTAATTCGAACCAACGAAACGAACGGGAGCTAACCTTTGCATATTACAATTTGGTTTTTCTTTTAGTATGAATTCAGTTTCTTCCATTGCTTTATATTCTTAGATTTGCTAAGAATGATGTTTAGTCTTGTTTATTTGGAGTTGGATCTGGTTTAAGAAAATAACGCTAGGTTTTGTCTCATAAGAGCTCATTTCCTATTAAACTATTGAAGGGAGAACATGACTTAAGGTTTCTTTGTTATAATATCGAGTCATTGACCTTTCTCAGAAATTGCAATATTCTAAAATTATTGTCAAAAAGCTTTTCGGAAAATTGCCTTATGTATTTTTAGGTCCTAAATAACAAAAGCAATGTTTCCATTTTCATGTTACCACTTACCTTTTGTATATCATAACAAAAAATTGTGTTACATTATGCTGTATAGAGCTTTCTCCATAGATTTCGTCCTATGCAAACAACACAGGCTTTCATGTATGCATGTATGTACGTGGGATGAGGCGAGAACTGTACAAGAAGCTACTAATTAAAAAAAAAAACAATATTCCTAAAATAAAGTAATGAAATAAATCAAAGTAAAAGGTATGCTTGGTTCATAGGTTTGAATAGAAATTCAATTTTTTTTTTTTTTTTTGAGAATAAACTATGTAGCAAAAACGTTTGAATATGTTGAGAATTCAGCGTCTAGATTGCAACAGGTACTAACAATATTTCTTTTTCTTTTTCTTTTTCCTTCTTCCAGTGAGACCTACCGGTATTTTGATCTTCCTTTCTGCTCACCAGGTTTGTATCACTTTCAATCAAAGCTTTTCTTGCAGTTATTTTCAATTTCTTTTTGGACGTCAATTTCATTACTTGAATGGGATCTCATTTGCAGATGGCGTTAAAGAGAAAAAGGAAGCTCTTGGTGAAGTCTTAAATGGGGATCGTTTAGTAAGTGCCCCCTACAAACTTGAGTTTCAGAAAAACAAGGAGTCCAAAGTTGCTTGCAAAAGCAAACTTAAGAAGGAAGAAGTGGCACGGTTCCGATCTGCAGTCAACAAGGATTATTACTTTCAGATGTACTATGATGACTTGCCCGTCTGGGGATTCATAGGGAAGGTTGTCAAGGAAGGGAAGGAACCTAGTGAATACAAATATTACCTTTACAGGCATATCCATTTTGATATCTCTTATAACAACGACAGAGTGATTGAAATCAATGTTCGGACAGACCCGAAGGCCGTACTGGACCTTACTGAGGATAAAGAAGTTGAAGTTAAATTTTTGTACACTGTAAATTGGAAGGAAACAAACACTCCATATGAGAAGAGAATGGATAAATATTCACTATCTTCTTCACTGCCCCATCATTTGGAGATCCATTGGTTCTCGATTATTAACTCGTGTGTGACAGTTCTTCTTCTTACTGGGTTTCTTGCCACAATTCTCATGCGGGTCCTTAAGAATGATTTTGTCAAGTAAGAAGATTTTGACATTGTCTCTGTTATGGTTTTGTATGTTTATTTATCCAGTGCTAGAATGTTCTGCCATCTCCACACTTGTTGATGAGTTTGCTTTCAATTTACCATGAAAGATATGCTCATGACGAGGAATCAGCTGAAGATCAGGAAGAGACGGGATGGAAATACATCCACGGTGATGTATTTAGATACCCTAAATACAAGTCTTTGTTTGCAGCGGCCTTGGGTTCGGGAACCCAACTTTTTACACTGTGAGTATTTCATTCAACCGCTGCTCCTAGCACCGTCAAATTTGACTATTTTATTATTTTCTTTTTCCCTCGTTTTTGTTAATGTTTCACGGAATTTTGCATGTATGTATTCTGCAGTACTGTTTTTATTTTTGTACTTGCACTTGTTGGCGTCTTTTACCCGTACAATCGAGGGGCTCTCTTTACTGCCTTAGTTGTCATCTATGCTCTCACATCTGGAATTGCTGGCTATACTGCTACCTCATTTTATTGCCAGCTTGAGGGAACAAATTGGGTATGTGTGCCTATGATTTCTCTATGCAAAATTTTCTGAATAGAATTCAATAAAGTTGATGCCTATTTTGCTAACGGTTTTACGCTTTGACCCTGAAGGTTAGGAATCTATTGCTGACGGGGTGCCTCTTTTGTGGGCCGCTTTTTCTTACATTCTGCTTTTTGAATACCGTTGCAATTGCTTACACGGCCACCGCTGCTCTTCCATTCGGCACAATTGTGGTTATAGTTCTGATATGGACGCTGGTGACATCACCTTTGCTGGTGTTGGGTGGGATTGCTGGCAAGAACGGAAAGGCTGAGTTCCAAGCTCCTTGCCGCACCACCAAATATCCCAGGGAGATTCCGTCTTTGCCATGGTACAGGGGGACAATCCCTCAGATGGCAATGGCAGGATTTCTGCCTTTCAGTGCAATATATATTGAGCTTTATTATATCTTTGCTAGCGTCTGGGGTCATAGGATTTACACCATATACAGCATCTTGTTTATCGTCTTCATCATTCTCCTGATAGTTACTGCTTTCATTACTGTGGCATTGACTTACTTCCAACTTGCTGCCGAGGACCATGAGTGGTGGTGGAGGTATGCAGCTTTTAAAACTAAACGTGTTAAATTTTTGTTGACTTTAAGTTCTGATTGTTACGCGTTTGTGTTTGTTTTCTGTCTTTGTTTATTCTTTTGAATTCTGTTTGTTCTTCTAACTACTAGAAGAAATTCATTTTTCTTATCCTTATCTCAAGTTGTCAAAATTTTCTCCTTATTTTATGTCTCAATTTTGTTGCTGCCAATGTTATTGTGCTATATCTCATTGAGGGAGCGTTTTGTTGATCATGGTTGTTGGTTTTTCTTCTTTCTTTATCTAGTGGCTTTCCTCTCAGTAGTAGGACTTGATACTGGGTAAAGGTTTAGAAATCAATGTGGATTTGGGCTTTATTAGAGGGTTTTTTTTTTTTTTTTTGGTTTCCAGAAAGATCCTTAAGAATCCATTTTAAAAAAAAAAAAAGTAAGATCTCAAGATTTTCTTTTTTGTTCATTTAAATATGTGAGTGTAATGCTGTGTTTTGTTTTGTTAGGATAGGTCATCGGTTGGTAGTTTTGAATGATGTTTCGTATGTTGGTAGGTTATTATGAAAAGATGGGTTTATAGATGCAACGTTAAACTCCATTTGCCGATAATGTTCTTTCCAAAAATTTCACCTAAACTGATTTTGGTATTTTACTCTTTTCTTGCTTAAAATTGATCATCCTGATCGTGATCAGTGTTTGCTTGAACAAAGACGTTTGTATAGATTTTTTCTCCATGTTGTAGACTATGCACCGTAGAGACTAGTTCTTTTGGTTATCCAATTTTTCCATCTGACTACTTGTGCTCAATCATGGATTTTACTAGCTGTATGGTTTGGGACTTGGCTCTTAATGCTTCCTCTTTGAACTACGGCTCCTGAAAATTTTACTTTTGATTTCTTCTGGTAGGGGAAGAGAATTTAGTATTTAATAACTTGCTGTTTATTTTTGACAAATAGATCTATTAGAATCCCACATTGGCTGGAGATATTGGTATGATCCACTTAATAAGGTGAGGGCAATCCTCCCCTAACAAGCCGGTTTTGTTAGGTTGAGTTAGGCCCAATATCCTTTGATTTCTGTAAAATGGCATCAGAGCAGGCCCAGTTTTGCAATGTTGGGTCCCCCAATATCGACTTATTCGCAGCGGTTTGGCATGGTCCACGCTGTGCGTGAGGGGGCGTATTAGAATCCCACATTGTTTGTAAAAAGATCTCCTCGAACAAAGTTCTTAGTTGCTTGTGTAAAAACAGTTAGTCTATTTTGTATATCTTCTCTTGCGATTCAACACATTATTTTGATGATGATGGTAATCTATATTCTTCATTTTCTCTGACAGATCTTTCCTATGCGGTGGATCAACTGGCATATTTATCTATGCCTATTGTTTGTATTACTACTACGCTCGGTCCGATATGTCAGGCTTTATGCAGACATCCTTTTTCTTTGGGTACATGGCCTGCATCTGCTATGGTTTCTTCCTCATGCTTGGAACTGTAGGCTTTCGAGCAGCTCTACTTTTTGTACGCCACATATATCGGTCGATCAAGTGTGAGTAAGTAGTTTGCCGTCTCTCAAAGACTTGTTGGATGTCTTTGGGTTTGTTCTTTGTTCAATAGCGGGCACCGTGTAGAGAAAGTTTCTGAAGAAATTTTGTAGTGCCTTGTTTGTTAAAAATCAGAAGCAAAGGTCATGAGATATTATCAACTATACCAGAGTTTAGACGTTAGGTCCCAATTTGTGTTCTCAAGGAGAGAATTAGTATCAATAAACCAATTCCGCAATACATTTTTTTTTTCTTATTTTCTTCTTCATTTTACATCTACGAATTATCTCTCTGTTTTCTCTGCCTGTTTGATTGAAGACGTGACTCCCAAGTATTCTAGAGGATGCCATCAGGTGGAGCTGGCTAATATTTTCTTGTTTCACTTGATAATTGTTAATAACAGGATTGTGATCTTTCTTCTTTCTCCCCAACAAATCCTTGGTCACTTCTTCTTCCTCTTCTCCTTCTTCTCCTTCTAAATAAAACATACTACATTTAAATAAAATCAATAGATGATGGAGGTATATTATATAAGCTCGTTGGTTCTTATGTTATTCGATAAGAAAAGGTTTAACTTTCTATGGATATATTAAGTTCTTGTAAGAAACTAACAGTACTACATTTTTATGCACAAAGAATAGGAGAAATCAATGCTAAATGAACTAACATAAGAACCAACGAGCTTGATTAGCTTATCCGCAATTTCTTACCTAAACCAAATAAAAGAAGGAATAGTAGGGGATAACAAAGATAAGTAAGAAAAACAAACTTCATCAATATAATAAAGAGAGAAGAACATAGAAAAAGGATATCTTACTAGGATAACAAAGATAAGTAAGAAAAAAAACTTCATCAATATAATAAAGAGAGCAGAACATAGAAAAAGGATATCTTACTAACCACTATCTGATTCTGACTTGTGGTCATTATCATCAGGGATGATTGAGTTTAAGACATAAATCATGGTTCCACTTCCATCATAACTTTGTTCAAATTTGGCTGCCTTTATCCAGAAACGACATCCAGTTTTATTTGAGTCGAGTGTATAAAAAAAAAAAAAACCCAACACAAGAACAATTTTTTCAGCACCGGTCCTTACGATTAATAAGATTAACGCTTGAATTACCATTCACATACCAAGTTGAATATGCATGTCTGAAAAAACAGTGACGGGGCATCTCATGCAATAGATCATATGTTCTATCTAAAGGAGAATGCCTCCTTCTACAATGCTCCCAAGGAGTCTTCCTACGCTGTCACTTGACAGCTCCTCTCCTACACTCTCCTTTTTTCTTTTTTTTTTTCCCTTCTCTTTTAACTTTGTTTTTAAAAATTTTAAATTCTTTTTTTTTTTTTTTTTTAATTTTTTTCTTAGGGTCTCCTACCAGTGGGTCAGGTTTCTTAACATTTATTTAGTCAAAATCATGATAGATTAAAAAAATATATAAAATAGATAATTTTTAATATAAATATGTCGACTGAAAGTATAGTTTTTTTGTTTAGAATCTATTAGAGAAACTCTTTTTTTATTTTATAATAATAATGAAATAAACTTTATAAGACAACACCGGTTGGATAACGTTACTGCTATTTTTTTTCTTACAAATGAAACGTCAGTATTAATTGTGATTCCTATTTTGTACCATAAAAGTTGAGATTCATATTTTTGAAAAAGTAGAAGTCGGTAGCATATTCGGCATCTCAAAATAATAGAGTGGGGCCCTTGATAACCCACACTTTCCCTTATTTCTTATTAGAGAATTTACATAATTCATCGCTAAGAGTGTATAAATTTAGATTTTTATTTTTTATTTTTAATAAATATTTTTTTATTAGTGTAATTATTTAATTAAAAAGATTATAAATTAATAATAAAGAGTAAAAATCTTGATTCATATATTTTTAAAGACTATTTATCAAGATTATTCTTCTTATTATTATTTTTTCTTTTGAAACGGATTGAAATTCACTCTTAAACTCTCTATACATTCTCTTTGGTTGGTACGATAAATTTAATTAAATTTCCTGTTATTATTCCCCTTATCTTTAAGTTAAAGCTATATTGGCTCGGTTGTTTACTTATAATAGGACCAAGAAAAGGACAAGAAGCACTATTTATTCAAACAAAAAAGATATTAATCTGTATAGAACATTATAATTGTTGCAGTCTAAAAGAAAAAGATATATCATTATTCTTCACTTTAAAGGGTTTTTGGTACTCTTTAATCTCGTCTTTACTCTTTAACTTGCATCTTTTTCTTTTTCCGTTTTGTTTTTCTCTTTTTTTTTTTTTTTTTTTTTTTTTTTTTTTTTTTTTTTTTTTTTTTTTTTTAAGACCAAAGAGGATAGTAAGAAGCACTATAAATCTCATCACTCTCAACTATAAATCACCACAATATCAATATATATCTTCTTCAAATTCTCTCCCCCTTGCCTTTCATTAATACACATATTATATTAACAAATTAGGAGAAAAATATCGTATAATATCATATACAGGATATCATGGTCCTGACGAGGGCGAGATCAATATCAGATCATGATGGTGATGAGGAGTTTGTGAACTCAACTTTCGCATCAAGATACGTGAGGTGTCCACTTCCAAAATGGAGGATGCCGGAGCAGTCTGTACCGAAGGAAGCGGCGTACCAGATCATAAACGACGAGCTAATGCTTGACGGAACAGCGAGGCTGAACTTGGCGTCGTTTGTGACGACTTGGATGGAGCCGGAGTGTGATAAGCTCATCATGGCCTCCATCAACAAGAACTACGTTGACATGGATGAGTACCCTGTCACAACTGAAATCCAGGTAAAAAAAAATCAATATTGTTCTAGTTAATTTGGGATTTTAAGAGTTTTTTTTTTCCGGAGAAATTGAAAATATTCTTATATTATATCCTCCATCTTATCTCCATTTGGTGCTCCTTTTTCATTAATTCTTGTATTTTGTGGTACTTTTTAAGCAAATGATGCTAAGTTTTATATGAATTAAATATTGACTATTTATGTTTTATTTTATTTTGCTGGTAATTTTCACACTTTCTATTACCTATTTTTATTTTTTATTTTTTCGTTATGAGGTGAATATATATTGTAGCTGGTTAAATTTTGGAAATTTATTATGAATTAATAAACATTAAACTTGCCAAAAGAAGGAGTTGTAATTGAGCTGAAAATTCCCAACAAATTAAGCGATAGATGCGACCAAAAACTCAACAATGAAGATAAGTAGATGAGATTAAGGAAATCTTGGACAAACACATTATTGTTTTCTTGAATGTGTTTGGGCGGTGGAGGAGGAATACGCCGTTGATATTGGGAATCGTGGGATTGTGGTATTAATTGCAGATCGTTCGTGTAGACATAGAGTCCGGTTGGTTCATGGATTAAGATTATGTGATTAGAATTATTTTTTATTTACGTGTATTTTTTATGAGAGAAAATACTGTAGCGAACCACGAATTATGATTCGAATCAGGAACGAATCCCTCTACCAAATATCACCTTAATTTATAAATTTAAAATTATTTTTATTTAATGTGTATTTTTTATGAAAAAAATATTATAATAAATTATGAATTATAATTCAAATTATTACACTAATTTTATACACGCTCATCTTTTGAAAAAAGCCACAACCGGATTACAAGTTTGTGATAAGAGGACGTTTGGTTGGAGGATTTAAACCATGTGATTCGAATTATTTTTGATTTACGTAAATTTTTTATGAGAAAAAATACTGTAGCGAACTATGAATCATGATTCGAATCAGGGAACGAATCCCTCTACCAAATATCCTGTGACGTGCCTTCACCGTGTCATATCCATTCAAGATCACGCCACATCTCAACCCCACGTGTCATTGAAAGAAATTAATTATAATAATTACTAGAAAGAAAGAAAGAAAAGCGAAAAAGATGCAACATTTGTTGGTAGGTTCGTTAAAAAAAAAAAAAAAAAAGAAATATGACATTGCTTGTAGAATTTTCTAAATAAGCCACGTTAACTTTTTTTAGTTACATGTTATACCTATTTTAATGATGTTAATTTTTTTATCGCATAACAAGGTGATATGTTAGTATGTGGTATTATTAAAATGTAAATTTATATTTTAATTCCGTTATAGTTTTTTTTTAATTTAAATTTAAAAAGTCATAATTAAAAAAAAAAAAAGGAGAGAAATAGGTCAAGACTTGAGATGAATTAAAATTAATAGGCCAATAGTTTATATAAGTTAATAAATATGCTAAATTACTGTTTTTGTCCATAATTTGTCTGGTTATGAATCATAACTTGACAAATTATTATTCATAAATCACGATTTTTATCCATAACTTGTCTGGTTATGAACCATAACTTGACAAATTTATCCATAATTTATTTGATTATGAATCATAACTTAATAAATTATGACATATTAATTTCTATAATTAAAATTTAACCTATATATTTCCTTAAATTTTTTATATTAGCCTATTTTTTACTATTTTCGTTAAAAAAATCTAATTCAAACCTTAATTTAAACTTATATACTAACTGGCCCAAGTGTTATCCCTTCTGCCCCTTACTTTTTACCCATTACGGTCTTCACGTGTCGGCATCTTCTTTATCGTTTTGCTTTTGCTTTTTGTCATTGAATTTTTCTCAATCTAATCAATTCTAAAAGATGTTTGACTTCTTGCTACGATTTTTTTAAATAAATATAAAAGTTGAGGAGAGATAATCAGTTATAGCTATTTTTTATGACCATGATCAAATGAGCTCTCATATACATGATTCTGTTTTTTTTCACTGATTCGAATTTAAAATTTGAGTTTTATGATAGTAAAAATTTTTTAAAAATAGTCACATTTAATTTTTTTTTTACAGTAAAAAATTCTCACATAATATCATATCTCAACTTAAATTAAAAACTCAAATTAACGAACCGAACGCTCTTATATTTAGATTTATACATTTAAAAAAAATGTTTGTCTCTTTTTTCCATTTATATGTCATCTAATTTTTGGCCCATTATCACTTTTATCGTGTAGGAAGCTTCTTATTTATTTTCAATTTACTTTTTCTATAAAAGATAAAAGAAATGAGAAAATTATTGAATTTAAAGTACATAGAATATGAATTTTTATTTTTTATGTTTAATTAATATAATTATTTAATTAAAAATATATTAATTAAGAATAAGAATTAAAAATACAGATACATACACCTTAAAAGGTTTTTGTCTCTTCTAACACTTAACATATTTACTCAAATAAGAACACTCGCGAAACTCTTTAATAAATGACAATTTTACTTAACAGTTTTGCTGGATATTGTTTCACATCATTTCTGCTTTCCGGTTCTTAAAAAATTATTTTTAAGGATTCAATCATAAAAAAAAAATTGCCGGACTTGTTCATAAATGGAATTTTCCAAAGCTTAGACACATACCCTTCATCTTTCCCGTTGGTAAAAACTATATTTTTTACACAAGCTAAGAAACTTCTTCCAGCAATTAAAAAAAAAAAAGAAGAACAAAGGAAAAAAAATAAAAAATAAACCAAAACAAAAATTTTTAAGCAGTTTCTACAACACCAAAAACATTTATCATAAATGCCATATCCATAGCCTCATAATCTTAACTTAATCATGTTTTTCCTGGTTTTGGAACATGTCTTGAAAGTAAGGATTATTGATTTCTTGTGTGTGTTTGTGTGTGTGTGTGTATATATATATATATATATAGAATGATTGAAGTAGTATTGATAATTGGTTATGTGTGGCAGAATCGGTGCGTGAACATGATAGCCAACCTGTTCAATGCTCCTGTGGGAGATTCTGAAGCTGCTGTTGGAGTGGGAACAATTGGGTCATCGGAGGCAATAATGCTGGCAGGTTTGGCCTTCAAGAGAAAGTGGCAGCAGAAAATGAAAGCACAGGGTAAACCCTATGACAAGCCTAATATTGTCACTGGTGCTAATGTTCAGGTTAGACCAATACTTCCTTTTCAAAAATCCTGTATTCCAATCTCTTGTTGAAATATTTGTTATCACAAATTGCCACCGAATCATATTCCGATCTCAAGCTTGCACCCCACGCTTTTCCCTTCGTTTTTGGAGGGATGTCTCGTAGCGGGGTAAAGTCTTGGCAACAACAAATGCCTGGCTAGTGCGTTGTGTAAAGTTGAAAGTGACGGGCCAACTTGGATTTAAGTGTGTATTTCGGCCAATGTTAAATATATCCGTGAATGATGCATCAAGATAGGGGTAGGGCCCTGCAGAACCCAAAATTCTACATGACATGAAGGTGGTGGACCCCGCCAAGCTGGTAGGACCCACCTCCCTCGTGTGGATTTTGGGACCTATTAAAGTCTCGTCCATTTTAGCGATTTAAGTTTAGAATTTAAATTTTACTATAGTAAAAAACTTTCAGAAACAGTCACATCTAACTTTTTTACTACAGTAAAAAGCTCTCACATAAAGTCACGTCTCAATTCGAATTAAAAACTCGAATCAACGAACTAAACAGACCTTAAGTTTTTTAGAGTGTGTTTGGTATGATGGAAAATTGAAAGGAATAAAGTAAGTAGAGAGATTATTGGATCGAAAATGATAGAGTTAGTTGTTTGGTAAGAAGGAAGAGAGGAGAAAAAAGAATTATGGTGGGGCCACTATTTTTTATCTTTCCAACATTGAAAGGAAAATTCAAATCCACTCATTGATGGTTAAATTTACTTTTGTGTCTCTATTTTAAAATCTAAATTAATATTAAATAATTGATAAAATAGTCATTTAGGCTATTACATGTTTTCTTTCATTTTATTATACCAAACACTATAAAGGAAAATTAACTTCATTCCTTTCCTTTACATTTTCTTTCTTTTATGTGTTTTCTTTCCATTCTTTTTCTTTGCTCCTAGTTTTTCCTTACTATTTATGGCCTCTTTCAATTCGTTGATACGAGTTTTCAATTTAAATTTTGCTACAGTTAAAAATTCTCATAAAAAATCACATTTAATTTTTTTTATTATAATAAAAAATTATCACATAAAATCATATCTCCAATTATATAGATTTTGGAGCCTACGAAGTCTTTTAATTAAGCTCCATTCTTTCTCTTTACTCCTAGTTTCTCCTTACTATTTATTATTCTCTTCATTTCTTTCTCCAATTATATTTTAACTTCGGGTCAACAAATTTATGTACTTCATAAACAGTGTAGTTGAGTCCTAGTTTAATTGATATTTAATTTGGAATAATCAAGCTATACTTTAAACGTTTATAATTTAATGTGACATAGCTCAGTGTCTTTGGGGGAGAAAAACCTTTAAATTGGAAAGTTGTAATGGGGAAAAAAATTGATCTCACGTGGCTCTACCAAAGATGATACAATGACCAATCTATGATATTAGAGAATTAGAATTATCACATAATAGTGTTTTGGACCGTCTTGTTTTCTATTTTTCTGACCATTTTTTTTTTGTTTCATCTTGATGAGTAAATTAGGTGTGTTGGGAGAAGTTTGCAAGGTACTTTGAGGTTGAGCTGAAGGAGGTGAAGCTGAGAGAAGGATATTATGTGATGGATCCAGAGAAGGCTGTTGAGTTGGTGGATGAAAACACCATTTGTGTGGCAGCCATTTTGGGATCAACATTGACTGGTGAGTTTGAGAATGTGAAGCTCCTCAATGAGCTTCTCACTAAGAAGAACAAGGAGACGGGTTGGGACACCCCGATCCATGTCGACGCGGCCAGCGGCGGTTTCATAGCCCCGTTTCTTTACCCGGAGCTCGATTGGGATTTCCGGTTGCCTCTAGTGAAAAGCATCAATGTGAGTGGCCATAAGTATGGCCTTGTTTATGCTGGTGTTGGCTGGGTTGTGTGGAGGAGTAAAGAGGACTTGCCTGACGAGCTTATCTTTCACATCAATTACCTTGGATCTGATCAACCTACTTTCACCCTCAACTTCTCCAAAGGTATGTCAGATCATATATTCAAACTGAATTTACAGTGAATTATTCGAAATTATACTTATTAATTCACATAAAGTGAATTTATATTTTTTAACAACTGAATATTAACAACTCATTTGTCACGTTATTTATTACACAAAATTTGATACACAATTAACTTGGAACCTTTCTGATTATCCTCCTTTTGTTATAAGTGATGCAAAATGTGTTAACTCTTAATGCTAGCTCCTTTTTATTCTCTTTTTTTAAGGGGGAAAACAGGGTAATAAGATTTGCAAATTTAAGTCTAGGTCAACTGGAGATCCTTTTAAACTTTAAGGCAACCTAGTCGTTTTTACTTTTACAGTTGAAGTTTTTTTTTTTTTTTTTTTTGGCTAGAAAATTACCGTAGAAGTACTTGTTTATATGGGCATGTCTCATAATGTAAGACTATTCATTGCACTATGGATTTTTTCTTCTTTTTTTCCCTTTTTTATATAGTGTGAGACGTATGTCTCTCATTTTATTAATAGTTAAAACAAACCATTAAAATTCAAATCCTGGGGGACACATACACATACTCACGTACCTAATCACTTGAGTTAGTCTCAAGTAGCGTTTTTTTAGGATCTTAACTCTCTGATGATAACGATTTTTTCCGACCTTCTTTATGGCAGGCTCTAGTCAAATTATTGCTCAATATTATCAGTTTATCAGATTGGGATTTGAGGTAATTTTTCTCATCTAGTAATTAAAATTCCAAGTTTCATTAGTTCTCCAAGCCTTATTATTTGTGTTCTAGATATGTGTACGCTTCTAATGCAGCAACATTACTTTATCCCATACGTAAATGATGCTCAAACATTTCTAACAGTACCACTAACTGTTTCCCTTTTTCACGTATGTATATTTTTGTTGTTTTGCAAAAAGGGTTACAAGAACATAATGGAAAACTGCACTGCAAATGCAAAATTTCTGAAAGAAGGTATAGAGAAAACGGGGCGGTTCGAAATTCTCTCCAAAGACATTGGAGTGCCCCTTGTGGCCTTCTCCTTGAAAGACAGCAGCAAATACACGGTGTTCAACATATCAGACAGCTTGAAAAAGTTCCGATGGATTGTCCCAGCCTACACCATGCCTGCGGATGCCCAACACATCGCGGTTCTTCGCGTCGTCATCAGGGAAGACTTCAGCCGTAGCTTGGCCGAGAGACTCATCTCCGACATTGGAGCAGTATTGAAGGAACTAGACGCCATCACTGCCCAAATCGTCTCCTCCACAACCGCCCATGTCTCCGTGATAGGCGGCAGCCTTGTGAAGAAGAGTGAGAGAGAGATTCAAGAGGATGTGACCAAGCATTGGAAGTGTTTTGTCAACGAAAAGAAAACTGGAGTTTGCTAAGCTGCAAAAAGGTACTAGTATATATGGTTTGGTATTATTGCTATTAGTATTACATTGCCTCCTATATATGTCGAAACTATAACTCAAAATATGGACTTTACGTCTGTTGCTTATGTACGTATCACGGGTGTTCCTACGACTTCCTTGTACTTTTCATGTTGCAACATTATAATCTACTTGGTGAGTAATTAAACAGTTTTCTGATTAGTGCAGATAGAATGTTGTTTTTTACGTTAAAACCCAATAATATTACTTAAATTGCGTAATTTTTTTAACATTAGAAGTATGCTGATGCAACAGAATGGATAGATATAAATTAATTTACAGGCTTAATCTAGATGGAGAACGAGGCTTAATTAGAACTTAAATCCATCTAAAGAAATTCTAAAGGGGAAAACTTCTAAATTGAAGAGAACTTTCAAATTTTGTCTTTAATATCTCAATAATCAAGTCTAACTATTACAGTAGCTTAACGAAATGTAGAGAGTCTTGGATGAATCCTCTAATGTTGTCCACTTACAAAACGATAGCGACAAATTAATAACAAAATAAACTAAATTAGTAGTAATTAGTTAAAACAAATGATAATGAAATATAAAAATGATTACTTAGAGCATTTCTAATGTAATGTTATAATTAATGTGCCACTTGCAAATTTAACATTTGAGTGTAAAAAATACTCTCTAATACAATGTTATTTGTTGTGCCAAATTTTTCATATGTTATATTTTGTGTCAAATTTCATACTGAGTATAGCATATGAGAAATTTGGTATTTGATTACTATGGTTAAAATGTTTACTTTTTTCATGTAATCAATGCAACTTTTACATTTTCTAATTATTTTAAAAATAAAATATTACTTTTGTAACTTTCAAAGCTTAATAATTATATGTAAAAAGTAACTTTAGCATTTCAAATAACATTACACATTGGAGCAAAAATAAAAATAACATATCATATTATAATTTTTGATGTTAAATATACAATTGACATTAGCATTTACATTGGAGATGGTTTTATTTGTAAATCTCACTACCCTTACATCTTAAACAAATCTAATTAATAAAACTGATAATGGTCAAACGGTAAGTAAGACATATTTTATTATATGAGTAATTGCACTGACGCACCTCAAACTATTGATCAATTTTTTTTACATAATGGACCTGCACTTTTAATTTGGATAAAAATTTATTGGCAAGTAAGGTTCAATTAAGACAAAAATAGTCAAAAGGCATCTTGGACACTGCTCATCTTCAATGGCTCGGGCAATGAAGTTTGTTCATCTTCTTTGGCTTCGAAAATGAAGACATGGGTAGAATCGAAATGAGAAAATCTCATTGTAATAAAATCGTCATCTAGCTAAATCTCAAAATGTTGCTCAACTTAAAACAGATGAATAAAAAAGGCCTTCCACATTAACTTTTTTTTTCCCTTTTTGTTTTTTCTTTCAATTTTTTTCTTTTTTAATATATGTTTAAATTAAAGGAATATAAAGTCATATTCTAATTTTTTCAAAAAAAACTTTTTTTTACTTGCCATGTAGGCACTTCAGTTAGATTTGTAAGAAGAAGTGGACGGAGAGATTGTTTGAACTATTTTCTATAAATCAGAGATGTTTTGAATAGTTTTAAAAAATTAGGAGGCATTTAAAATTAGTTTTGGAGGAATTTATGTAAATAATCATATTTTTTTTGTAGAGCAAAAAAAAAAAAAAGAGTCCTTTCACGTGAGAATGTTTGTTAAAAGGAGAGAAAACATGAAGGAGATGGATAAAGGGTGTACGAATTTTGATGGAAAAAGGTAGAGAAAATTTGTTAAGTGTAGAAATTTGGTTCTCCATCTACAGGCAATTTCACTCAAAACACATAAATATTTATCTCCTGTGTTTGTGTTCATTTTTATGTGAATTTATTTCTCTACTTAGGTCTTGGGTGTTGAGATCAACGCGACTAAATCTATATATTTTTTAAATATACGATTACTTTTTAAAAATATAATGATAAATAGAAGTCATATATTGTAATGATCCAGCTTTTTGAGCCGTGTTACTAAACATAAGTTAATTTACGAAAAACACAATTAACTTCTTAAAAGTATCTTAAAAGTAGAATGCTTACTTGCTAAAATTTTAGGTAAATGTTTTTGTTAAAAACTTATTTTGAAACATAATTTAAGTTTTGCAAATTCTTTTCATTTGTAAAGACTTCAAAATATTCTATACACTTTCGAAATGCTCGTCAGTAATAAACTATCAGAATGTGAAATCATCTTTAACTTTCATGGAATCAACCCAATTGAATTAGAATTTCGAACTTAATTAATAATTTCAATTTACATCTTCCTTTAAATATCACAACTTTAAACCTTTTGCGGAATTTAGTGGTATCCATTGCCAGCTCCCTCTATTATACGCGTCCTTCTTTGCAAATTCCAACAGATGTAGGTATTTTACCTGTAGCATGAACAAACTTTATGAGCCGAAGCTCAAGTGAGTACAAATATTCCCCACAAAAATATTTTTCAGTTTTCACATTAAACAATCAACCAATAAAAATGCATGTCCAATTATGCTTTAATATGTATTATCCATTTATTACTTGTTAGGGCCCTGTGCTCGTACTGCGCAAGACCAAGGGAAGTGGGGGAGCAACCCAAACCTTTGGTCCAACTACCCTAGGGTCAAAATTAAATACATGTTATATCACAACCCATGAGCTCGTGGAAATTCCTCATTACTCATGACCGGAGGGCGGTATGACACTTAACTGTCTTTTTATTACTTTGTCCTTTTATTTAGGTGAACATGCAATTGTGATCATGTCACATAAATATTTATCATTTCCATTACATTAGTATCTATTATATGTGAGCATGCGATTATGATCATGTCGTAAAGAAATTAAGATAATTTACTTTTAAGAAGAGGCATTGCATAATAAACACAGCATCAAGAATATCAATGAGAATGAATGTGGTACAAACAAGCAAGAAAGTTTATTAGATAAAATCATTTTAAAACTATCCATGTTGTAGGTGACGTTTGTACTCATTTAGGTGTTATCGCTTAGTGTATACCCACAGTACACCATCTTTGTACGACAGTACATTTGGTATTCATTACCGATAATCGACTATTAGTTCATTTTCGATTCCTCTAATCCATTATGCTTAGATCTCGGAACTTAGTCCCTCAAACCTTCGTTTGGATTTATTTCTATAATCATATTTCTCTTAACTTTCCTTTACATTTGGATTAACTGATAAATCTTATTTGATTAAATGGTTAATCCTTATTAAGGTTTCATCATTCAATTTCTGTTGACTTATCAGTTTAAGTCTTAGAGACTTAGTCCCTTTGACATTAACTACGATTATTTCTTATGAATTATTCTCCTATAAATTCTTATTAAATTTTTCCTTTAGTTATCGTCTGTCCTATTGCCCCTGAGTTAATTAATTTACTGACATAATTAATTAACTATCTTGCTTTATTAATTAACCTTTGCAATTAATTAACGATTCTTTCTTAATCTTTAATTAGCTTCCTTAATTAACTTTATTAATTAATCAACTCTCCTAATTACTTAATTAACTTTGTCTGGTTAATTAATTTCTATTGATTAACCAATAAATTAACCTTATAATTTACTTAATGAAATTTCGTTAATTAACTTTAGATTGATTTATCTGATATTTCATTCTTTCATAAATTAATTTTCCAATTTAACTTTATTAATTCCTTAAGGCTTGGAAACTAACTAAATCTGTTTGTTGATGGTATACTTAAGAGTCACATATAGATTACTCTACCTATGCTCTCTTGGGCTTGTCTAACCTCAAGCAATACTAAGGTTGGACTTAGGCCTATTGCGCTTGAATGCTGGTATTGTCACCTAGTGGGTTTCCTTAGATGAACCTAAAGGATACTCTAGTTCTTACTTGGACTTTTAGGATTGGGTTTTAACCCAGTATTTAGTCACATACATGAATTGGGTTTTAGGATTGGTTTCCTAATTCCATCACATACATGTGTTGATAATGGTGGAAGACAAATTACTGAGTGATCAAATTCGAATAGTTCTGTATTAGAGCTCATACTCTAGGTCTTACAGATTTTAAGGACTAGACGAGGATGATTTGGGTTTTCTAAGAAGGCTTAGAGCTTGGATCGTTCGTGATCAAAGAATTTAAGTTATCTGTCTATTCGTTTGCTTGGTATATATGTTTATAAATTAATATTATTAGTTTATTATTGTGTAAATTAACATATTCTATATCATGTTCAAAAGTTTTATGAAAATTTTTGTTATACACGATCTGCATCTACACGAATCCGCATCTGAAATCGTTTCAGAAACCAATATGGCTATACTTTCTACACTCGCGAAAGAGATAAGAAGCCCTTGGTCCAAAATAGTGGTGTTAGTCTCCGTGTCGATGCTATGCATGTTTCCTTTGCAAAAGATAAGAATCCTATATACAGAATAATGACCTACTATGGTTTTATCGAGAACATATGAGAACTTGACTATTGTGGATTGCGAGTAGCGCTTTTTAAATGAAATTAGGCAGACAATAATCATGTGAATCCTGATAGTGACGACGCTACACTTATAGACTTTCGTCGACTAGACTACAAGAAGGAATCCTTTACTTTGGCAATGCAAGCAAAACAAGTTATTATAAAAACCGATCCTAAAGATTTGGAGTTGTTCTTATGAAGCCAAGAGCAATTCGTGATGGCGAAAGGGATGATGATGATATCAATGAAATACCATATTTTACTAGAGGATTGCCACCGGTTGATGTTTTTGAATATGATAATTTTAACTTTGTCCGTTTGGATGTTGAATAGACATGCGTTGAAAAAGGTAATAATAGAAAGAGTAAAAAATGATCATGTATTTATATGTGCTTCTATGAACATTTAATTTATCCGTTGTTGTTGTAATATTAATGATGCATCGAAATTGATAGAACGGAATTTTACTGGCCTAATTAACCTGGACGGAAAATGGAACATGCAATCCCCAATTTACCTAAAAGAGATCCAAGAAAGGGGAAAATCCCTAATTTGAAAAGGAAACTGATAACTCTAAGAAATTAGAGTTATCCACTGGTTTTATAGCCTAAAATTATTTGTCAGTGAGTGATTGTTCTCGTTTATTGTTTGTTTTAAGTTAGATTTGTAGAGTTGCATGTACTTTGGCCTAATTCTGTATTGCTGTGCCTCTTGAAGTAAAAGCTGGTAATTTGGAAGTAAAATAGGTGAAAAACTGGCTAATTCTATGTGAGTTCCTTGCAGGAAATTGCTGGGCTAAAATGCTGCAGCATTCTGGGCGACATTCTGGGATTAGCTGGCAGCTGATTGATGTCAGCGCACTAGCTAGGCAAAGCAGACAGAAAGGAATCCGTTTGAGCTGGCTGAGGAGGTGTCAAATGAGTCCACTGTGCACATCAGCAGTGACACCTCAGCCCTTGTGTTGCCTTAGAAGGGAATGTTTCTCTCAGGACAAGTTGGCAGCCGCCAGGGGGAGAAAAAGAGGAAGAGAGAGAATTGGGCATTAATATAAAAAGAAGACAGTTGCTGTTTCACAAAAAAAGAGAGCACACAAAGGAGAGTACGAAGACACAAAAAAACACAAAAAGGCATTATTCAGAGAGGAAAAAGCTTCGGAGAAAAGCTGAAGAAACCAGAACATCAAGTAATATTCAGCCTAGAAGGAAAATACAGAGACGTGAGAGCTGGAAGTTGAAGGACATTGTTGGCCGGCCACAGAGGAATCCAAGATCTAGCTGAACTTGTTCTTCTTCTGTTAGCTTAACTCTTTTTGTTGTCATTTAGCTACTAATTCTAGATATGGATTATACTGGAGTTTTGGATCTTGTAACTTATGAACTATAACTATCATTATGAACTAAGTTGTTGTAGCTAGGCTTGCTAATGGAACTAATATTGTAAGAATGACAAGTTGTTTCTGAAATGCTATTAATCTACTATTCCTGTTCATTCATGTGAGCTAATGTTTATTTCTATTCTTGATTGGCCATCAACCTTAGGATACAAGATTGAGATTAATACTGGAAGGGTTAGTTTTAATCGGATTAACATGAATGATGTTTGTTCAATGAACTTGCTGAGTTGTTGATTAGTGGATGGTATAAGAATATATTATCCACCTTGCATAACTTAATGAAACCTGAGCTTAAATCTGCAGTCCTAGAGCTGGATTCACATAGGAATGTGTCGGAAATAGCTTAAAGGACCATAGTCATAATCAATTCAGAAGAACTTTATGCATCAACGAGTTTCTGTTAACAGGATAGTAGAATGCTGCAGCATTCTTGGTAACATTCTAGTCAGACTTGCAGTAGATGGGAAGTTAGCAGGCCTAGCTCATTTTCACCACTGAATTACATTCCATCAATACATTCTTGTTACTCTTAGTAAACCGCATTTAGTTTGCATTCATTTTAGTGAATTTTTACCACATTCATCATTTACTTGTTTGTTGATTATACAACTCCCGACACATATTTTGGTGATTCATTCCTTGTGGGATCGATATCCGTACTTGTGTACACTTTATTACTTGTTAGCGACATGTGCACTTGCGAGCATAATTATCACGCAACAAAAACTCAACTCTAATTCTATTATCAAAATATTCAAGTCTAACTATTACATAGGCAATGTGGCTATTTATAGCTCACATAGAAAATGATAACAAAGTAACAAGAGAAATGACATACTAATAACAAAACTTAAATAAATTCCGAAACTAGAATAAATGACAATAAAATATAAAAATGACTACTAATGACTGATTCTCCTTACATCAGTTCACCCCGTCTATTAAAAGAAACTCGACCTCGAGTTTGGTAGAAGCACTCAGAAAGCAAACATGACATAGTGAGTGAAACCGATGGTGGTGAAAGACTCCCGCTTAGGCTTGTGGGAGTGATAAACTCCAGCTGAATAGTTCCTCCGTACTACATCTCAAAACTCACAAAGGCACCAAGACAATACTCCAACAAAATACATAAAATATCAAAAATGTGCGTCGATGACATCTGCTCGGGTCTTGAATTTCTCAAATCCAACTCTTAATGATGCCAACCAATCGATCAATAAAGTTGATTCCCTTAATTCGCCCACTTACAACTTCACCAACCCCTATAAAATTATTTTTTTCACCTTTTCCTTCAATTATATCCACATTAAAATGGTCCACAAACTTATTTTGATTGCATCATAGTCACAACAGTTGCCGTTTACCTTTAAGTGTGGGCCTGGGTTTCTGAGGAAAATTGGGCTTCATAGCAAGTTGAATTGGTCCAAATTCTATGCTTGGCGTATCAAACTAATTTGGATCAGTTTGGGGCATGTACATCATATTTTTCCCCTTTAATATGTCGGGCTCTTTAATTTGAGTTGGGTGAAATTGTGAGCTGTGCTTATTACCATGAATTGGGCCAACTGGGCCAACTCATCAGGGTTGTGAGACTGCTGTCGATTTAAGGGTGAAGAGAAAATTGATTAAAATTAATAAGTCAATAATTTATATAAGTTAATAAATAAGTTAAATTATTATTTTTGTCTATAATTTATCTAATTATAAATTATAATTTGATAAGTTATTATCCATAATTTATCTAGTTATGAACCATAATTTGACAAATTTGTCCATAACTTATCTGGTTATGAACCATAACTTGACAAGTTATGACCTATTAATTTCTATAACTAAAAATTGACCTATATACTTTCTTAAGTTTTTTATATTGACCTATTTCCTACTATTTTCGTTGATTTAAATCCCAGTTTATTTTATTAATTTAAAAATTTTTATAATAAATTTTTTTAAAAACAATTATATTTAATTATTTTATTATAAAGTTTTTTTTTATATAAAATTATATTTTAATTCGTATTAAAAATTTGACTCAACTAAGTAAATGGGACAAAGAATGGACGGCTTCACTCTAGCGCCGCCACCATGTGCATTGCCTAACTCGCTCACTTCGTCGTAGCTGGGTTCTCCGCCCTTGTCACTAAAGTCGCCGCTGATGCTGGGGTCGACTCCGGGGGTTCGTCTCTGTAGTTGGGTCGTCGAAGTTTTCACTGCGAAAGTCCATAAAGGTTGTGTCGCCAACGGAGCTATTTGGACCCGGCATTGTCGCAACGGTTGTTTCGGCCGATTCGCCATGGTTGCTAGAGGTTTGTGAAGGTCCAGAGAGTCTCGCGCCTGTTGGGTTTGCACGGTGGTACTCCTTTTTTCCGGAGTTGTCTGCGCTGCCCGTGTCGCGGCTAGGAGCGCCGTCCGACGAAGTCCGCCGGTCTTCCTGTGTCGGTTCTGAGCTTAAGTGTTTGGTTTAGGTCATGTAATTTTGATTTAATTCTTCTCTCATCTTATACCAACTTTTAATCCTCTTCTTCCCTTCAAGCTCTCTTTGTTTCTGCAAATTTTCCCACAAATAGACAATATAGCCTCTGAGTTGGGAAGCTACCAACAAAGCTTGGTTCCTCAGCTCTACATCTATGTTATCAAAGAAATCATCCACAATTTCAAGCCAAACACAAAATTCTCTTTTATCAAAAACTTCTCTGAAGCTAGGAATCCTAAATCTGAGTGATGAATTTGGGTTTGTGGTGTTGGATATATGTGGAATTTGTGTTTTCTGCGTAGGTTGTTTGGAGGCAATTGATCTGGACAGGTTTGTGTGATGTTGGTCATGGTGGTACAGTGATGAAAATGGTGGAGGAGGTGGTGGGAAATGTTGCCGAACCTTGGATTGTTGGTGGAGGTGGTGTTAATGGTGTTAGTAGAGGTTGGGTTGATGGTGGTGGTGGTTTGGCAGATTATGGTAGTGGTGATGGTGGTCGTAGTAGGGGTCACAAGGGCGGTGAAGTGGTGGTGGAGAGGGCGGCTGTTGGTGGGTATTCCACCGACGATACCTGCTTCTTCGGTAGTATGAAACTTCACGCTCATCGGCGTCGAAGTGGCTCCAATCACCGATCATGCTGTCGAACTCCGGGAACCGAAAGCCGTGATACCAACTAATGCACCGGGCCTAACCCAAACAGTGGACGGAACACGTAATTCTTAATCTACTTAAAATAAACTTCAGAGGAGAAAACTCTTAAATTGAAAAAGAAATTCAACTCTAATCAATTATTTAAATATTCAAATTTAATTATTATATAAATAATGTGACTATTTATAATTTATATAAAAAACGATAACAAAATATCAAGTAAGAGAAATGACATATTAATAATAAAACTTAACTAAATTCTTAAACTACAATAAACAACAATAAAATATAAAAACAACTATGATTTATTCTCCCAACATCAATTAATTATGCGAAATTATAATTCATCATCGTACCGTTTAACAACAGTTAATAATCATTATGATACGTCGTATTTGTAATAACGTAAAGAATTATGAAATTATGATCATTTTTAATTTATGTGTATTTTTTATGAGAAAAAATACTATAATAAATTACGAACTATGATTTAAATCGGGATACGAATCTCTCAATTAAACAACTGAGATACCATAAGACTCACATAAAATATAAAAAGATGATATTTTATTTTTTTCAAGAATTGATGAAAAACAACCATGCACCCCCACAAAAAAAAAAAAAAAAAAGCCACGGAATAATGACTAGGGTTTAGCCACTTCTTTTTTTTTGGAAAAAAAAAACTTATTTTATTTGCCGCCATTATGCACTCCCCATTCCAAGACTCGCCATTTTCCCGCCAAAACCAAAACCCCTCAAACTCACACGCCTTCAGAGATAGAGAGAGATTGTGAGAGAGCTAGAGAGAGAGAGACGAAGAGAGAGAGAGAGAGAGAAGATGAGTGCGTCGTTGAGGAAGAAAGTGCAGAGAAAATGCAAGATCAGAGGATATTCCCTCAAAGTCGACGCCCTTGACGAGATCCTCTCATTTGCCTCCCGATTTCCCGATTCCGATTCCGACGAAGCCATCGATCTCCTCCTCGATCGGCTCCACTATCAAACTCGTGCGTTCTTCATTTCTCTTCATTTCTTCATTCATTCATTAATTCATTTCTTCATTCATTCATTAATTCATTTCTCTAATTCTTCTTCTTCGGCCAGTGAAATCCTCCATCGTCGATAAGGACGCCGTTCGCGCCGTCGTCAGCCTCCTATTGGATGCCGAAGCTGCTGTCGACGGTGACGACGAAGCCTCCGCTGCAGCTCCAAACGGCCCCGTTTCACCTTCCTCGATCCGCGTGATCGACGCCTTCTTGGTCCCCAAGCTCCGTTACGATTCCATTAAGAAGCTATTCTACGAGTACGTCGTTCTTTCACGCTGGAAAAAAAAAACTCTTATTTTGATTTTTAGGGTTTTGAGCAAAAATTGGCTTCTGGAATTTTTCGCTTTCGTAAGAAACTTTGGTAAATTCATGTTATATTGACAGATTGTAGCCATATCTTTTCCAGAATTTGGGATTAAATTGTGTTGGGATTTTAGGACGAGCTTGGTCTAGGGTTATAGCTGGCAATGGAAATTGCATTTTGAACCATCAGTGGTTAAAACAAATAGATAGATAAGAATTTCATTTATTTTTTATTTTTTCATTATATTGGATCTCTGTATTTATACGATAGACTTAATTGCGGAAAAGTGCGTTTTTTTTCCTTTTTTATTTTTGTTAATGAAAATTTAGGTTTGCACACTTGTGCTTCAGGAACGGTAAATATTTGTAATCTGTGGTTCTTCACAGCATCTCAATGCTAATTGAACTTTCCACTGGTCTGCCATTTGATGTACTTTCTAGAATTTAAGATCAAGGTGCTAGGATTTTGTTTGGGAATTGCCCTAGCTTTTACCTGTCATAGGATGTTTCTTTTTTTGTTCCTTTCTTTTTGGGGATGTTTAGAATTTCTGTTTGTTGTCATCTATCGGAGTCATATTAGTTTATTTTGGGTTTGGTGTGGCTGTTGGGCGTTTCAACTTGTTTGGGAAGTTCCAAAATTGTGTATCAAGTATACAAGTTAATTTAGGAAGTGGTGTCACGAGGGATTAATGTGGAAGCTTCTGTGGACTGTTAGTTATCAGAATTTTTATATTGTTAATCTCAGTTGGAGGAACTTTTCTCCGAGTGCTTGGAGTTGTGTTACAGTTTTTTCCTTTTGCATCATTCATCTTTTTATGATATATATTTTGGATGCTAAAGCTGATGTTGGATTAATTCTTCTAGGCATACTGGGAGTCTGCCCATTCATGGCGACGCTTCTGCAAAAGCAGCCCTTTACAGGGATAGGTTTCTCTTGCTGTTTCAGAGGCTGACTCGCGATCAGCATTTTTCCAAACGTGCTTTTGATTCTGAAATGTCGCATTTTGGAAATTGTGAGGTGCTCTCTCTCTCTCTCTCTGCCTGTTGCCCCTCCTTCCCTTTTCCTAACACCATACACGCACATACTTGCCAAGATAAGAAGCATAGTGCTCAGAGTTGTTGATAATACAATGTATTAGTCCTAACTTCTATGACTCATTCCGATTTTCTACATGATGTTTGATATAGATATCTCCTATTCAGTCGCTGGTTGGGCAAACGGGCAGAAGATGGGTAATGGGTTTGATCTCACAATTGGAGGATGACCATTTCTACTTGGAAGACCTTACGGCTTCTGTGGAGATCAATTTGTCCAATGCAATATCCTTTTAAAAAGTTTATTGGATCTATTTCGTGAGTTTGGATGGAAGTTAAGAACTAGACTCGTATATCTTTGACAAATAAATAGTTTTTCTTCATGATACAACTATTTTTCTTCCTCATTTGTTTATTATTCTGTCCCAAATAAGTTAGGATAAGCACATTAGGTTTCTGTTTATATTGCATTTAACTTTCTATTTTCCTGTATACTGTGCTAATTAAAGTTAGTGCAATCTGATGATCTATATCATGGAAAGCTTGAAAACTTTTTATTTCCTCCCTACTTCACTAATTTGCCGACTCAAAATGGTTTTATTTGATCTAAGGAACATGATGCCCATGCCCTTTTAACTGAATGTGAAACCTTGCAGAATACTCGTTCTTCACTCAGGGTGTTAAAATTGTATTTTTTTTGTTTTTTTTTTGGGTTCTTCTTCTTCTTCGTCTTCTTCTTCTTTTTGTTATACATTCTAAGTACTTGTTATTTGTTTTGGTAGGTGGATAGCTCACTAATTTTGAAATTTTCTTATCATAATTCTTAGAAAACTACTTTAAAGAAATTGAAAGGTACTTTTGGCTGTACCTTATCTAGAAACCATGAAATAAGTACAGGATACTGTAAAGCAACTCAATTTCTTATGTTGATGACATAGTGCTAAGGATCTTCTCAATTTATTAGCTTAATAGAATTCTTGAAATGCTTTAAGTCTGGATTTTACTTTCTTTCAAACTGGAGATATAGTGTCACCATTTTCTTTGACAAGCAATACAAGATAACCACAGGATTTTTTGCTGAGAACACGATAGTTGTTGCAGAAGGTGAAATGCGTGTAGAAGGAATCTTTCAGGTTAGAATTATTATCCTTGTTTTCCAAATTGCTGCCTATTCATTTGATACGTTGTGCTAATACAAATTGTCCCAAAATTTCTTGATGTCTTTTTGCCAAATGCGAGTTTTTGCTATATCCACATATTAATATCTTGTAGCTCTCATCGAATAGCTGAGCAAGGGGAATATTTGATTAATTCCTTTCTACAGTGGACTCCTTTTCTTTTCTTCTCTCTCTTTCTCTCTCTGAAATTTGCCTTGCTTTTCATCTTGAATGGATCATCAAAATGATAAGCCATTTTCTTTTTTCTAGTCCATATGGTAAACTGTTTGCACTAAACCAGAATATCCTTCCCATGGGCTGCCTAGATATTTTCTGTTCTGCAGTTCCATAGCGTGGCCTTTTTTACTGTGAAATTTATTTATGCTATCATTTTTATTCGGTTACCAACTCCTCCAGATTGATAAACGCGGAAAAAAATGTATCTATCAGTGATAATAAGCAAGTCATTGCAAGAATTTCCACGTAATGCTAATATCTCTATAATATTGAAGGTCATTACCTGTGGATTTCCTCCATTAGAGGACAGAGAGAAGTCACTCAAATTGCTTGCTGGTCATGACTTTTTTGGCAGCAGTGTACTGACAAAAGAGGAGACTGTATCCTGACAACTCTTTTGCTGAACATTGGCATTATAAACACATAATTAGTTCATATTCAAAGTTACTTCAATAAGGGGAAACCAAAAGTTGTTTATAGTTCCTATACGCTAATCAACAGCTTAGACTTGCAGAATTGGAAAAGAAAGCAGTTAATGACATGTTTGTCATAATCTCTGACATGTGGCTGGACAATGAAGAGGTAATTGGCATTGTCTGCGCC